GAGGAAACAGTTGCTGTTCAGGATTCAGAGAAGGGTCTTTCTCAACCCTGTTTGGAGAAGCTGAGGACCAAACCTGGGATTTTTTGCACGCAGGTGCTCTGTCGTGTCCTTTATCAATGAGCTAAAGCTATGGAACTTCTCTGCTCCCTCATATTAGTTAAAGTTATTGCTGTCTATTTTCACTGGGCTAGGGTCTAATCCATAGAACAGGGGCTCCCAAACTGTGGTCCGTGGACTACCACTGGTCCTGGAGCATCATTCAGCTGGCCTCCAGAAGGTTCCCGCAAGGGAATGTCTGCCTTAGACCCAGTATATGTGAAGGACTGTCTCCACCTCCATTGTCCAGCCTGGACACTGAGGTCCAGCTCTGAGGGCCTTCTGGCTGTTCCCTCACTGCAAGAAGTGAGGTGTCAGGAAACCAGGCAGAGGACCTTCTCGGTAGTGCCGTCCTCCCTGTGGTACACCTTTCCATCAGTTGTCAAGGAAATAAATAATTATCTGACTTGTAGAAGACATCTGAAGGCGGCCCTGTTTAGGGATGTTTTTAATGTTTGATGTTTTATCGTGTTTTTAATATTCTGTTGTGAGCCGCCTAGAGTGACTGGGGAAACCCAGCCAGATGTGTGGGGTATAAATATTATTATTATTATTATTATTATTATTATTATTATTAAACAGTTTCCCACCTTGGTGGTAATTGACGTGATTATATCTACTACGATAGAATAGCACTTTTCATTAAAACAACTATTTTCTTTTTCAAATTATTATTATTCATTTCTTTTAACAGTCAATTTTAATGGTCAGAAGCTGACACACAAGAAAATAATACTATTTTCATTCCAATCTGCTATTTTCCTTTCCAGCTTTCCTTCATTTCTACATTTAAACATAATTTCAACATGCAGGTAAATCTTTCCGTGTGGACTCCAACGGCAAGCTCAGCTGGGGAGTGTCAACAGGACTGAGAAGCAAGAGTGAATTGGAACGATGTATCCTGGAATGATGGCATGGGGGGGCGTAGCTGGCTGGCTATATAGAAGACTCACGCTGCAACATTTTGTTGCAGGTTCCTACTTGTTAATATGTACTGTGCCCCCCTTTTTACTTAAAGTGATCAGAGTTTGAAACCCAGGTACCTGGGTTTAGCAAGGAAGGGATCGGTGGTGATCCATCCTAAAAGGATATTTTGTAGGGGAAATCCTCAAGTAGGTTACTTGTAACAAGTAACTGGCACTTCATACACAATTCCTGTTTGCTGGATGTTCAGCCGCCAGTGCAGAACAAAATATATACTTGGTAATGTGAACTTCAACAGTTTCAATCATTTGTTCGCGAGGCTGGAGCAGTTTTAGACCCACTTCCCCATCCTCTGCTATCAGAATTATAGTTCAGGGATGTTGTATATTTCTTTAGTAACAAATACTTGGCTCAAAGGCTTTTAGCTGTGGTTTGACAGCAAGGAAAGGTCAATCAATAAAATAAAAAGCATGTTTATTACATACATTTTTATGTAATAAACACTGAAGCTGAAACTGCCTTGTGCCGAACTTTGAAAATAAGAAGCAGTGTTTCATTCATATTTAATTCCAGTAATAGATAGTTCAAGCTGCAGCTTCCACATCACTTACCTTCATGCTTAGACCCTTAGGGCACTTTAACTTTTGTTCCTGTTGAAAGAAATGGATAATTTGAAGAGTTGCTGTGCTATAGCATTAAAGTACTTCTTTAAGAATGTAATGCGCATCACACAATGAAGAATCACTGCAATAGTATACGCCATGGCATCGAGCTCTTCAACATTTAAATATGTCTTAACTGTCAAGGCCAAGGCTAAGAAATTTTGTTGCAACTTTTCGTGTAAGATTAAATTTGTTTTTATATGTTGCTAATAATATTTCTAAATATTTTTGGAAGTTTTAAATGTTTTAAATATGTTGTTTTGCTGCACCCCCTTTTTTTAAAGGCCCTGAGCTTTTTTGGGAGATAGAACAGGGCAGAAATATAATAATAAATAATATAATATAATATAATATAATATAATATAATATAATATAATATAATATAATATAATATAATATAATATAATAATAAAGTCCAGAAAATATAGTTTGCTCTGGGATGGTTGGTTCAAGGGTCTGCTGCTTTTTTAAATGGCTCCAACCACTTTCTCTTGCTATTCTTACTTATTTTAAATATTCTAAACTGCTTTTCGGAAACACCCTCACACAAAGTGACATCCAAAGGAGTGAGAGACAAGGATAGAATAACAGATCAAGTGTACAGAGAAACTGCTTTGGAGCCTCAAACTGTTTATGGTCCCAATTTAAGGCAGTTGTGAAGAGTAGGGTCTCCAAGGCCCACTAAATGACAGAGTTTGATCCACTGGAAGAGAGGGGCATAGTTTTAGAGCTGCCACCAAGAAGGCCCTTTCTTTTGTTCATGACAACCTGGCTTATTAACAGCCAGCATTCAAGAAGGACCACTGAGGTAGTTCTTAGCATATGGTTGCCATATGTCCAGAATCTCCCAGACATAACCGGAATACTGCAGTCAGTAGCAGTGTCCGGGCGGAAATCGGCAAAATGGGAAAATCCAGATGTAGGACAGCCCAGTCCTACAGATAATCTGGGCACAAGTGGTTTAAGGTTTTAATGCTTACTCTAAACCAGGATTTTGAATTGGGCCCAGAAAGTGGCTGGTGAAATCAGTTGGTTACAGCGTGGTCTGATAACACCAAGGTCGTGGGTTCAATTCCTGTAGTGCCACCTGCATATTGTTGCATGGTAGGCGGTTGGAGTACATGATCCTTGGGGTCCCCTCTAACTATATGATTCTATGAACATGTTAAGATTTTTTGTGCTTCACTTTTATCTGGGCACTCCCATTTTGCACTAGTTTTACCTGCTGCACCTTCTTCAGAGGCAGACCTATATTTCTGCAGTCTGGTTTGGAGGTAACCAGAGCCTGGAGAACTTTTTCCCTCTTTCATTTGACACCCCCATCTTGCCGATCATGTGGTCTTTTTCTTGCCCCCTTCCTCTTCATCTTGACTGTCCAAGGAGACATTAGGGGAGGGGTATGTTTTTTGCTTGCAGGACACCATATATCATGATGGTGCCATAAACCACCACCATTTATGTATGATATTGTAACATCCTTTGCTGAATTCCTGCCTTTCTTGTATATGAGGGATAAAGATGGTTGGAAAATTGAACGTGTTAAATTCCCTCCAGCTTCGGCATTTATTCTGAGCTTGTTTACACAATGATCTCCACACTATAAATCCCAACAAGCCATTCCTGTAGTGCAGCTAGAGGAATAACCCAACCCTACATTTCATTTTGTATCCCTTTGGAATTGATGTCGCCAGGGTCAGAGGAGTTCTACAGCATGCAATCTAACTCTGACAATATCTCTGCTCAGTACCTCTCTTCTGTGAAATATTTTTCCATCTCTGCAGCATGCTTGGCTGATATACTGTGAAAGGAGCCTAGATATACCAATGCTTTATGATTCAAAAGATGATCATTCATACCCAGTGGCTGTTGTCTCTATCAGTAGATATGATCCAGATGTCTTTTGCAATTACAAGTGATCTCAGCCCATAGCTGTAGTCACTGGTGGCGTTGCTTTCATCTCAAATAATTTTATCATGGAGCAAGTACCAAAGCACAGATGCATGTCAATGTTGATAATGCCCTGCCGTGATCCTCTCAGTCATACCAAACTATCGATCACAGCTTTGGCTAACAAATAGCTTTTTCAAACTGAAGGCTATGTATTTATTATGTGCTCGTTACTGCGACATTTATTTTAGGGAAATACATGAAGTCCGCATATTGCAGTACTGCATAAAAATAATGCTTTGGGCAGTGGCTAAATTACTTGAATCATACAAGAATTTTTCGAATTTTTCAGAGTTTCTCTCTATCAAAAGGTTTCTCCAAGGGGATTATCTGTGCTGTGGGCCTTGGTTACTGTAATGATTTAATAACCAACGGTCCCACCCAGTCACTGTCATTATTCTCAACAACAACAACAACAACAATTTTATTATTTGTACCCTGCCCATCTGGAATGTAGTTCTTCAGTAAGCAGGTCTTGCTGTGAGAGAATCTGCTTCTATTATAAATACTACCTATTTTTACTTTTTAGGAATACAATTTGGCATGTGCTCCAAGTTCTCCCAAGGGGTGAGAAGTTCCAAGACACTGCAACCCAGATTCTGGTGTCTTCTTGAGAAATGAACACTAGAGATTGATGGATTTTTTTGGTAACATCTGCAATGTTTTCAAATATACCAGCACTTAAAACAGATAGAATTGCTATGTCTTCCGATTATTAACCAGCCACCTACATAACAAAAGGAAATGTCTTTACTTTAGTCATAAGAATATAATTGTCCCAGGCTGCCTTCTCTCGTAGCTTATGGAGAAAAGAGCCTTTTTTTGGAGGCAGCACTCGTGGTTGTGGAATGCCCTCTCCAAAAAATACTTGCATGGTACCTATCTTGTTATTATTTGGAGTATTTTGTATACACTTTTTTGATTTTCATAAAATAAAAAATAAGAAGCTGGAAATGGTTGAGAAAAGGATAACCACCACCTACCACCAGCATCCGTGCGATCCTGCAATATGGACACATCACACACAAATTCGAATTTGCACAGGCAGCGCTACCGAAACTCAAGAGCGCTTTCAACACGAAATAAGCTTGATTGGGAAGTGCGGGGACTTCCCTTCTGTTTTCAGGTTGGATTCCTCCCCGTTATTTTTGTTTTGTTTTCTTCTTCCTTCCTGCTCCTCTTCCCCCGCTTCCCGCTCTGCTTTATTCTATGAGAACGCGGCAACTTCCCATTCAGACAACGGAAGACGCACGGCTCTGCCTACTAGCGTCGCGGGCCACGGTGGGGGGGGGGGGACGTTGCGCTTGCGAGGGAATTGTGACTTGCGCAGGGACCCGTAGGGCAGTGGGCGGGCGTGAGAGTGACTCGGTTGCAGGTGGCACGTTACTAGGAGACCGAGGGACGCGGAAGAGCGGCGGGCTTGAAGTTGCTCCTGGGGTTCCAGGGGGGCAAGAGCATGTTAGCAGGCGGAGGGCGAGGCAGGAGGGAAACCAGGTTGGTAGTGAAACCGGGGGGGGAAAGAATCGTCCATATATATATATATGTGTGTGTGTGTGTGTGTGTGTGTGTGTGTAGCAATAATACACACACACATACATATACTGTATACACACACACATATACATACATATATATTATATATTGCAATGTGCGTGTTTGTGTGTGTGTGTGTGTATAGCAATTATATACATATATATATATATATATATATATATATATATATTCATTGCTAAGCTGCTTTTGTTGAATTATGAATGGTTGCAGTTGTGCTTTTTTAATGAAAAAAATGACACCAACAATGCAAACAGCTTTGAGTTTAGGAAGCTTACAAATGTCTTCAGTACCATGGCACTTTTGTTTTTGCAAGTTTTCAAAGCAGACCTAGTCCTTTGCATCTATCAGTGGGCTTAAAATGGTAAAGGTAAAGGACCCCTGACAGTTAAGTCCAGTCACAGACAACTCTGGGGTTACGGCGCTCATCTAACTTTACAGGCCGAGGTAGCCGGTGTTTGTCCGCAGACAATTTTTCCAGGTCATGTGGCCGGCATGACTAAGCCGCTTCTGGCGCAACGGAACACCAAAACCAGAGCAGCGCACGGAAACGCCGTTTACCTTCCCACTGCAGTGGTACCTATTTATCTACTTGCACTTTGACGTGCTTTCAAACTGCTAGGCTGGCAGGAGCAGGGATCTCACAACTGGAGCTCACTCCGTCGCAGGGATTCAAACTGCTGACCTTCTGATCGGCAAGCCTAAGAGGCTCAGTGGTTTAGACCACAGCGCCACCTGTGTCCCATCAGTGGGCTTACTCTTGAGTAAATGTGAATGTGCAGCCTTGTAGCCTGATCTCGTGTAACTACAAAGGCTGCAATCCAAAAATCACTCACTTGGGAGTAAGACCCATTGCACTAAGTAGGACTTACTTTTGGGTAAGCATGTATAGGATTGCACCGTAATGCAATTTACTTTCATATAAGTGTATGTAGGATTGGAGCCATAGTTATTGTGGTCTCCTATAGAGTGGGTGAAAGAGTGAATGTGGAAAAGTTATGAAACAGGCAACCAAAATGTAAAACTTTTTAGAAGTTTGTGTTCGTTGCTGTCAACATTTTAAAAACTTGTTTATATTTAATATTGTTTTGTTTAATTACTTTCCTGCTAGCAGATTTAGGGCAAAGTTACAACTAAGAAGATATGGAGATAGCAATCAGGCAGCACCTGTCAGATGCTGAGAGACATCTAGGTAAATGTTACTAACCATCTTTCTCTTTTTAAAGATGTATAATGTTGACTCTTTCTTTTCCACATACTCAAATAGACTAGGTACTCTCTCCATAGATACAGATACTCCTAAATACAGATTGGGGCATTCCTAGGTAAATGTGCATAGGATTGCTGCTATCGCTGTGTAATAAAATCCCATGTATAATACAATTCTTTCTGTTTAGATAAAAAGCCACAGAGAGTGGGGGACGGAGGGAGAGAGAGAGATGTTAACCAGAAATTTGATGGCTTGAGCCCACCTAGGGACAGCTGTGGGCAGGATTCCTGCATTGCAGGGGGTTGGACTAGATGACCCTCGGTTCCCTTCCAACTCTATGATTGTATGATTCCGTTATTCTAACTGTGCTTTGCCCTATCTAGCTTTATGTCTATTTATTTTACATATAGAGTGCATACATATTTCAGAATATCCTGATATCATAGTATGCTGAATCCAATTTCAGGCATGCTGAGCTATGGTATACCCCCACTGGCAGCATAGAAATAGCAAGTCTTAAGAGTGGTATGTTATGGTTGCTTCTCTTAGGGAACTGACACCCAGTTTCCACGATCAAAAATATTTCTCATTTTGTTTTGGCTCATGTTTTGTGGTGGCTTGCATGTGGTGCGGTCTGAATGATTTGCCACACCTTAGACTATTGGCGACACCGCAATAGATGGTGCATTGAAAGTCACACCTGAACTGTGCAGCTGCATCTTATGCTGCAACAGGCAATTGATCCTTCTAGCCAGCATTGTCTACTCTGACTGGCAGTAACTGTCTCAGACAAGCATCTTTCACAGACCTGCTTTCAGAAATATTTTAATTGGAGATGTGAGGAGTTGAAACTGGGACTTATTGCATGAAAATCATATAGGCTTTTTTCAGCCAGAACTCAATTCCGGCACATCTCAGGTGGGTTCCATTGCCATTATAAGAGAACAAGGGTTCATGATGAGTTCCAGCACCTAATTTTCTAGAAAAATAGCACTGGTTCAAGTCAAGGCTTGTGGAGAACTGCTCAGAGAACTGCTTTATCACATTTATATTTTGCTGGAACTGACACGACAGAAGACATCAGATCAAAACAAATCCTAGTTAATGATCATGCAGATTTGCCCTGATACATATTGATAGTCCAAAACTGTTTACTGTGTTAGGATGCAATCCTATACATACTTACTTGGGAGTAAGTCCCATTGAACTTAATGAGACTGAGGAGTATAGGATTGCGTTTTGCTTGGCTATGTCTGATTGTTTACATTATGAAAATAAAACAGGTATTTGTTCGAAATGGTTATGTTATTTTCTGCCTAATTAAAATTTTATTTTCAAGATGTCGAAGCGCTGAAGAGTGCTTACAAATTGATCAAATCAGCGAATGATGGGAAATCAGCCCTTGATGCCTTGGAGAGTTTCTCTTTTGACTTGTATGTCATGTGTGCAGAACAGGCTTATAAGGTAACAATATGCCCCTTTTGTAACAATACGCCCCTTTTTACTTTATGAGGTGTTTGTTCATCTTAATTTAAAACTGAAATCTGTTTAATTTTAGATGGGTTTTCCGGAAATGAGCGATGACTGTCTACGAATGTATTTTAAAGGAAAACCTCCAGTTAACCAGTTTTTGGGTAGAGCATATTTGTGCAAGAGCCAATTATATACCCCTGTGTCTACTGATAATTTGGTGAGCATGTACTGTGAGTTTGGGTGTTGATTTTAAGGGTGTTCTTTTGTTGTGATCAGGTGAAGGCAAAATTCCATGTTATACAGTAAACAGTATGACTTGCCTTCTAAGAAAAAATAAATCTTTGGAACCAGTTATTTTCCATCCCCCCCCCCCATGCACCCCATGAAAAGCCTTTCTGAAGGATACAGAAAATTATGTTGTTGGATAGGATGGGGGTTTTTTAATTAAAAAAAATATATAGAGTGCATAGACGTTACAAGTCATGCTAAGTCAGTAATAAAGGCTTTGAGTCATTCCCAGTTTTTTAATATATATATATATATATATTGTTTTGTTTTAGGAACAATTTGACAAATTCATTGTACATTTGCTGAAAGTAGTAGACTTTGCATTAGGTAACGCAAGGTAAGTCCTCTATATTTGGTTTCCACTAGGGGCATTCTTTGTGGGTTTCTCTGTTTCCTTCATGCAATATTTCTGAACTATTGTTCTTGACTAGAACAATGATATCACAGTGTGGAAGATTGCATTGAATCATTGTATCACAGTTTTCAAAAATGCACCCAAAACAGTGATCAATATATTTGCTATTTTAGTTCAGAGCTGACGTGTTGCAGTAAAACAATGAAGATCATGTCTGTATTCGATCAAATGGGATCCATCCTCCCAAATTAAGATACCTTTACTAGTCCTTACTTTTATATTAAACAAAATAATCCATGACTATAGGATACAAATGAGTAGCAAGGAGGATTTCAGTCACTTGAGAATTGCAGAAATTAGAAGCTTATGTGAAAATAAAGCCGCATAACAGCCACCGGCAACATTTAATACCTAGAGAGTAAACATTGTAAATCAAGGTGGCGCTACCTTTGAAGGTGACCTGGAAACTACAACTAATCCAGAATCCTGCAGCTAGATTGGTAACTGGGAGTGGCCACCAAGACCGGTCTTGAAAGACCTACATTGGCTCCCAGTACGTTTCCAAGCACAATTCAAAGCGTTGGTGCTGACCTTTAAAGCCTTAAACGGCCTCGGCCCAGTATACCTGAAGGAGTATCTCAACCCCAATGTTCAGTCCGGAGGCTGAGGTCCAGCTTTGAGGGCCTTCTGGCAGTTCCCTCACTGCGAGATGTGAAGTTACAGGAAACCAGGCAGAGCGGCCTTCTCAGTAGTGGTGCCTGCCCTGTGGAATGCCCTCCCACCAGATGTCAAAGAAATAAACAACTATCCAACTTTTAGAAGACATCTGAAGGCAGCCCTGCTTAGGGAAGCTTTTAATATTTGATGAATTACTGTATTTTAATAATTTGCTGGAATCTGCCCAGCTTTATGTTCATTTCAGGTCTGTCACACAGACCACCTTGCATGGGCCACTTGCCTCAGGTTGGCCATCCATTAAACAGACGATGCAGTGAAGTTGACAGCAAAAAACTTAGTGGGGCAAAGAAGCCCCAAGTCCATTTCATCCCTGCACAATATCATAATGTGTACTCTATTATATTCCAGGTACTATTTTTTGATACATAATGCTTCCGTTATATACTGGAGGATTGTAAGGCCATTTCTTAAGCCTGGGTTCCGCCACTATCTTATTCCAAGCCTCTATCAGATTGTGCCTGCACTGAAACATCCCATTGAGCAAGACAAGGACTGGACTGCAGAACTGATGATGTAAGTTGAAGTTTCTTTCTTTCTGTATAAAATGCTTCTAAACCTCTCATTTGTATATAATACCAAGATGGTATATATCAACATATGCAGATACAGTAAGAACATAAAATACCATTAAAGCAATACAAAACTATCGTAGAAATGAGGAAATTTAAACAACTGAATAGGCCTGTTAGCATCAAAAGGTCTTCAAGTGACTCTTGAAAATTAGTAGCAAGGATCCTGGCTGAATTTATGCTAGAAGGGTATCCCAAAACATGGAAATATAAAAACATTCATTTTTACCCAGATGATTGATGGCTGAAATATATTGTTCTTGGAAACTCTGGGATTCTTAGCTGCAAGAGTATCTGGTTGGTTTTGGAAGTTTGCTTTTCGTTGCTCACATGCCAAGACGCCATAACCCACTGTCCCCCCATCCAGTAAATGACCACTCATGACAACATTGTTTGGTTTAAATTAGGCCACAACTTCATTGATTAAAGATGTACATGGCTTAGGCTTAGGCTTTGGTTATAACCATTTCAACCAGCCCGCCTGCTGGTTGATCCTTCCAGGGGTCGAATCTGTGGCGAGGGAGTCCTATGACATACATTAAATTGGGACTTCCCACAAAAATCAGTTTTGAGGAGAGATATGGCCCTAGCCCCCATCTAGGTGTCCAGACAGCAGCACCTCCACCAGGATCCCTTTAATGGGATACCCCATTCCCTTGGAGGGGCAGGCAAAGCCTTAAAACCTCCCCTCCAACCATGACTTTTACCCAATGCCTTACCCACTAATGTTGTTACTATAAGGTAGGCAAAACCCCCAGGTCAGCCAATTGACCCAAAGAACAAATTCCTCCTGAGCACCAAATGCAGCAAACAATTGTAATCCATAGTAAAGTCTGAAAACGAACACTACCTTCATGATGGGCAGGAGCCAGTCTAACTATAGCAAGGGTGGGAGAGAGATTCAAAGTGCCAGGTATGAGGCCCGATACCCTTTAGATACTCTGGGAGTGGACCTGAGTAAAGTCCTCAAGGGAGTCAGTCAGGCCCACTCCCAGGAGTGCCTGCCCCTTGACCTAGCCGCTATTGGCCAGGTCCGATTCAAACACTCCAGCAATGTCTCCCATCAGTCGGGATCCCAGCTGGAGAGGCTGGGGGACCAGCAGGATGCCGCCGTTCCTCAACGCTACCCAACATTGACATAACGGAGTATTTTAGATGTTTTAATTGTATTGTTGTAGCATTGGGGTGTTTGTGAAATAGAAATGTAATAAATAACAAAATAAATAAGAAATAAGTTTACTGATCATACTTTAATGCATTTTCATTTTGTGCGCCGAAGGACTACAAGCAGCTAAAGCTCCCCCCTCCTGCTTTTTGCTGATCCAGAAGTAGTCAGTCTTTGGCAAAATTACAGAATGGTCTTTCCTACTTTAATTTAGGGAAATCCTAGCAGTCCATTATATTGCAGGAGATCATGGTTCATTGTGTATTTGCAAACTTCAGATTGATTTCTGGCTTCTTTTCCTTCCTTCCATATGGCTAGATTGTAGCATAGCTTCCTTTTTCTCTTGACACACATATGCTTTGCCTTGGCAGAGATGCCAACTGCACACTGGAGCCTTTGTCCTTGTCAGTTTTCATTGAACTAAACGGATGAGACTTGTTGGTCTTTTATTGCCAATCAGATTACTGTCTCTTTCAAATGAAACTACTGGAGGACATGGTGTTGACTGATGGAAGGGAAAGAAAACTGATGGTATTTCTGAGATGATTGTAATGGCTCTTCATAGGCTCAAAACATTTCCTCTGGAGGAAAATAAAAGAGAAGAGAAATGGAACTGGCTAAAAAGTTCCAGCCAATCAATGCTGCCTCAGGTTTCTAAACTTAAGTCTGTCTGCATTCATAGGACTTTCACCCTTACTGTCAAAATTGATTAAACAAAGGGTTTAATTTACAATAGACTGTTAATATAGTATTCTGCTGGAATAACTTTAGAATCAGCAAGCAAATTGGAGTATTGAGGGAATTTGAGATGACAGGAGGAGTGCATCAAGACTGCTTGTTAGCTTCCTTGCTCAGTCCTTCTTCTCCCCCCCCCTTTTTTATTTTTGGAGAATCATGTTAAGCACAGATATTATGATTTGAGTGCAAGTGCATCTATCTAACCTATCAAAAATGTCAGTTACCTAAAGGAAACTTAAGTTAGCAATTTGACCGATGTAGTGCTGGGAAAAAACAAACTGACAAAAAAATATATATTTTAAAGCTTCTTAGAACATAAAAGGAAGGATAAAAAGTAAAATACATTTTACTGAAAAGAGAAAAAATGTATCTTACAGAAAAGAAAAGAAAACATTTTACAGGTCTGGAACTTTTGAACAGGGTTGAATTAATCTTTTTAAAAACACTGAGTAAAAAGCTGCCCCTGATTAACTGGGTAACATTAAAAAAAAAGTTGATTTTAAATAAGGAGGCCTGTCAAAACTGCTAATGGCAGGTGCTAGCTTACAAGAGGTTTTCATCCTACCCTATGCCTTTTCTAAGATGGTGATTGTATCATTTTGTAAGCTTGTATGCAGATGAAATAAAAAAAACCCTCATATGGTTATCAATGCAAGAGTGCCTCAGATGGCTAGCAATTTGAAAAGGAGCCTGGAATGGAAGCTAAAGGTTACACTTGCAGCAGGTAAATCAGAATAGGCTTCTATGTCTGTGCATTCCTTTGGATGTGAGCACCTTAATAAACGAATGGTCTTTTGCAGCTTTCAAATGAGATACGGTGATTTTGTAACATTGCTCATTTATAAACACCTTGCACAATTGTGTTAACAATAAACATTATTTTGTTTCTGTTTCAGAGAGTTGCTTGAGTGTTTCCTGGATGCTTCCAGAACACAAGAAGCTATAGAATTTTCATCAACTGCAGCAGCGTTTATTAAAGAATATGTTCCAGGGAGATATAAACAAATATTTTCAATAATGGTAACTTCTGTTAATCAACATAGGAATCATATGGTTTCCTATTGTAGCGGTGGAGGACATTTTTTCAGCCCAAGGGCTTCATTGTCTTTGGGGAAACCTCTGGGGACCACATGCTGTAGTAGCAGACCCACCACCTAATACCACCAATTAATAAGGTGGTGGATCCACTCCCACTAACTGCACCCTATTAATACAGTGCACCCACCTCACAGTACACCCATTGCACAAATTTCTACAATTTACCACAGATTATCTAGTGGGGGACTTGTGTGAGGGAAAACGAAATGATTTAGAATCTCGGGCAGGAGTCGAACAAACAAACAAGAAAAGTTTATTGGACGAAAGAGGTTTATGAAACAAAGTGGGTCAGGAAATTATTTCTTTCAGGTAGAACATAAACCTGATTAGTTTAAGACAATGTGTTGAATGCTGTCGCCTCCCCCCTCCATTTTTTTAAAACTGAAGGCCATTTCAGGTTACCCAACTTTCTACCACTAAAAGTAAACCAGCCTGGTAGAATTTTGTTGCAGTTGTTTGTTCTGCACTGTAGTACACACCCTAGGAAAAATGACTAGCTAAATCTGATCACTGAGCATTATCAAATATGTATGCATTTGATGCCTAATGTGATTGGTGATTCCCCCCGCCCCTTCTGTTCCATTTCTTTTCATCTTTTTGTTTCTTTCCACATGATCAATCTTGGGATAATGGGAAATGGATCTTGCATAACATTTCATGAAATGAAAAATGTACTGGATTTCCTATGGATGTAATATTAATAAAGCCATAAGATAAAAGTACGTAAATCAGGTTGTGCATTATACACTGCTCAAACGTACCTTTGAGAAAAGCAACCTAGCAGTGGTATTAAACTACAAAAGCAATTGAAAAATGGCTAGTGAGCTACATCTCTCAGAAGTGCCACCAATCATTTCTGTAATAACCACATAATAAGTGAGCAGTCCACTGCTCATGCAGTCCATGAGAAAGGGAAGTTGAAAATGATCTAATTAAGCAAAATGGGTTGTTTAAGTTTGTTGCTATAAAGCTTCATTTTGGAATAGGCAAAATAAGCAGAAAAAAGATTGAATTAAAACTCTGTAGCATAGCAGATTATTCAGTAAGTTCACATTTGCACCCATTGCTTAATATTTAGTTGCTAGTGTCACAATCCAGAATTGAGGTCATTCGCCTTGTTCACTTTAGTGGAGAGAAGCATCCTACACTTTGGAAGCCCATCTGGAAGGGAGCTTTGTGTTCCAAGTGAAGCCTTTATAAATGTATAGGACTTAATGTTCAAACATAAGAAGTTTCTTCTGGATCAGTCCCACAGCCCGTGACCAACATGCATCATTTTACACTTTCTTACACTGCATTTGCCATTTTACTGCCCATTCTCCCAGTTTGGAGAAATCCTTTCAAAGCTCTTCACATGCCTCTTCCTTTTAAGCACCCTGAACAGTTTGGTATCTTCAGCAAACTTGATTATCTCACAGTTAACCCTTAACTCTAAGTCATTTGTGAGGAAGTGAAAAAGCACAGGTCCCGATGCTGATCCTTGGGGAATCCACTTTCTACATCCCTCTACTGAGACCTGTCCATTTATTCCTACGGTCTGCTTCCTGTTTCTCTCCTTTTCTTCCATGACTGCTAAGGTTGCTCAGGTCTTTGGTGAGACTAAGGATCCTGATGTGGTAATGTCAGACAATGGCATTGTTTGCAAACTTAAACCTGCAGGAAAATGTTGTGAAGAATTTTAATCTTTCTTGACTTGCTCCTTTTGCTTTAAATGCTGATATAACTTTTATAATTGCTTCTAGGTGCGTTACAAACTAATGGAAGCTTTAGATATAGAAGATGAAGTGGAAAGTTCTGCCAATCTGAACATTATTTATAAAATCCAAACAATCAAGTTGTAAGTATTAGTTAACGTAGATGAGAATCTCAATTGTTTAAACCAGAGCTTTCCAAACTTTTTATGCTGGTGACACACTTTTGATACATGCATCATTTCACGACACAGTAATTCAGTTTTACTAGCAAACTGGAAGTTAAGCTAGCCCTTTTCCAGACCCAGGAGGAGCGTGAGGAGTTTTCACATGACACACCTAAACACTGATGTGTCACGACACATAGTTTGGAAAGCTCTTGTTTAAACCATATGGGCAATATTCAGTGCACTCATTCTGTCATCACAGGAAATTTTGGATACACAGTGGAATTTTGCCACCCTCTCTTTTTCCAGCTTGCTCTCTAAATATCTTTTGGATTTCCTCTCAACCTTCCAGAAAAGATCTGGGGAGAGGAGGCAGGGAGTTCAGCAGCTCAAATGGAAATCTTTGTGCTAATAGAGCAAGTGCATTGGATACCACCCAAATTCTAGAGGTGGGCTGCAATCCAGAAAGACATGAGTGGAAGAAAAACTGCTAGTGCAGTTCAACATAGAAGTATGGAACAATTGCCTTGCAGAATTAACCCCATCCCTTTTTCTCTCTGTGAAATAGTTGCAGGCACATTCAGCAGCAGTGTCCTGGGTGGCTTGTTATTCAGGTGTTGGCCTGAATTGTTAATCAGCTTAGATGAGCAGATGAGTGACATGCTGCAGATCTGTCTTATAGGGGGACAGTCATAAATGTTTGCTGAGATAGCTACTGTGATGATCCTCCATATAAGAATAAAGCACTCAGAGCCTTCCCTCCACACTCAGCTCTTCTAGTTTCCTGAATGGAATGGAATTTGGCATGCTCTTATGAAAAATGAGATTGCTTGGAGTGTAACTTTTGTTTGCCAAGGCCTATTCTTAGAAGACAGGTCAAATTGACTTTTTATTTATTTTAGGTAATTTTTTAAAAAAAACAATACTGTACTGTATTCACAAATCCTGCTTGTGTTAGAGGGGGAAAGGTTGATTGTTTAATAGGTTTTGAGATGTTCTTCTGTTAGTAATCATTGCATTATAAAATAATTGCAGGCAGTTAGATAAAAATGAGATTCCTCAAGACGTTGATACTGAGTTGAAAACAATATACGGAATTTTGAAAGGATCTAGAAAGAGATTAAACCGTAAAGATAGGTAAGTTGCATGTGTTAGCAAAACTCTAGAAGCTCTTTTTAAAAGCATAAGAATTTGCTATTTATCTTACATCCATGCTGTAAAGGGAATTGGGGGTTGCTTGTGCGTAAGGGGGTTGCTGCTCTAGGCAACGTTGTTTGGCTAAACCTTTCCCTGGCTGGATAGCCCTTTCTCCATGGCTGTGTCAGTCACTGGCAGAATCCGTCAGTGGGCGTTTCCTGAACTTCTTCCAACATAGAAGCTCTTTGACGCCAAGTCTCCTCCTAGCCTCCCTGCGCGGAAGTCTTCTGCGCAGAGTGGGCGTGGCCAGAGGAGGTCCTGGGCTCTCCCTGCTGGTCTCTGTGGAAGAGTCTTGGAGCCATCTCTCCGAAGTCCTTCCCTGCTCCCCTTTCTTCCTGGTGTCACGCCGATTTCCTTCCCCAAAGGAAGTGTTCTCTCTCTCCCTGCTGGTCCCTTCTCCTGCATCGTTGGGGAGCCTTACCTCCACTCTTGGCTCCGATGGCAGTTCCCTGACACATGCCAAGAAGATAAGAGTTGACAGAGTGTCTCCCATGCTGTATTAAAGCTCTATTGGTCCAAAGATCTTTCGTAATTTGTCCTTGGGGAACAATCCCTCCCAGCACCAATGGTGATGAGGGTTTCATGCATCTCTCGCCCTCCTTGGCATATGCTAGCCATTACCCAGAGTGGAAGGCCTGTGTGCTTGTGTTTTCCTCCCTCCAGCCTTCCCTGTCCAACTCAAGTCCAACATTGGAGTTTACTTCAAGCTCAAACAAAGTCACAGCTGGAGTCCTGGGTTGGGAGGGAGAATTGAATATGGAAATAACAAGTGCAGAGCTTCCCATGCTCATAACCATACGTGCATGGAGGGATCACAGTAGAACCCAATTGGGGACTCTGCTCCCATTATTTCGGAAAATGTTCACTCTTCTTAAGTAATTCATTACATTTCCCTTTATGTTCATTCCACTGTATTTGGGGTGGGGGTTTGCTGTTTTATCCATGGCTCTCTTCTTAACCTCTTGTTTCATATTGCAGCATCCATTCACTCCCTTTTGAACAACTGACTCTGGTAACTGGCTTGCTGGGCTACATGCCCATTTTCTCCCTTTCTCAGATAATTTGTTTGGAGGTGGGATTGTGCTTTTTCGAAATTTAAGAGATTTCCCTGGGCTGGGTATTTGATGCCAGATTTTAACGTACTGTCATTTTAGGTTTATAGTAATAAATAAGCAATAAGTGATTTCTGTGCCAACACTACTTCTATCCCAATTGGTTTTATTTTCTACTTTTCCAGAATTTCCTTGCTGCTGGAATTGGCTCGACTTTGCTTGAAACTAAATTGTATACCTATTGCGTCTTTATGTTTAAGTGACCTGTTCAAATATAAGATTACCGTGAGTGTCAGGAAATTATTTTTTTAATTACTTTGTTTTATCATTATTTTTTATTCTTGTATGAGTGTCAAGCTGAACAAAGAGAAAAAGATTCCAGTCCTAGAGCTATTATCAGAGACAATTAAAGTCATTGCTCTCTAAAGAATAATTAATTGCAAAAAGTAAGGAGAGAATGTATCATTGGAAATAAATTAGTATTTTGCTGTATATCTACATATTTAAAATTGAGAAAGTTTTGCAAGGACTGGCTATCCTGTTTGACCCAGTGGGCCATTATCCTCAGCTGTGTTTGTGATGGAAATGATGGGTTGTTTCCAACTAAGTTATGCTCTGAGTAGACCAAATTAATGGACTTGTTAATTTCAATGAGTCTACTCTGAACACGAGATGGTTGGACAGTGTTCTCAAAGCTACTAACATGAGTTTGACCAAACTGTGGGAGGCAGTGGAAGACAGGAGTGCCTGGCGTGCTCTGGTCCATGGGGTCACGAAGAGACAGACACGACTAAATGACTAAACAACAACTCTGAACATAACTTAGCTGGATACATTCCAATGTGGTTAATTCTCACAACTCCTATCATACAAGATAATTCTATTTAGCCACAACAAACAGTATGTTCTTACCTCCCCGCAAAGCCCATGGTGCTGATACTATAGAGGGTGGAAAGGGGGACATCCCCTTATTCTTGTAGATTCTTAACCTATCCCCTTTGCACTGTTTATATTAAATGTTAAGTATTGATACACCGATAATACATATCAGCACAGGGAGATGCCCACATCCTTGTTATCATACAACATCATCACAGATCAAAGGCTCTTTAAGATTGCAGGGATGTAGCAGCAGGTTAGATGGCAGTCTGAAATTATCTATCTGCACAATAGTCCAACCCAAGTGTCCTCTGCCACTCAACCCTCACCTTCCCTTGCCCTGCCCAGGTAAACAGCAACAATACCAGTGTCAGAAGGATGGCTTCGCCACAATGCATGTACTATAATTGTGTGTATAAGGCAGAAACAATTCCAACCGAAGATAACGCTTTGTGCATCTGATAAAGTAGATTCTAGTCCATGAAAGCTTATGCTACAATGGATCAGTTTGTTTTTAAGGTGCAACAAGCCTCTTTGTGGCATTTACTGCAGCAGACAAAAGACAGCTGTGCTTCTAGAAGTCGCATGACACCGACGAGTGCTTGTAGCACCCTAGGTCTACAAGCACAAATGCGCAACACTGTAATGAAACATCTGACTGCATCAGAGATTAATCACGAGCATGTGCATTTCTTGGTGAAAAATACGCTTATATTAATAGGATCCAGCAAGAGAAATTGAATTGGACTGCTTGGAATGCGATTGCGAAGTCCAGAAACTTGGGCCTAGAATTGCAACTTATGCTAAAAGTGTTGTTGAGGTATGTTTGTTCCTTAATTGACACTGCTTCGTAGAGAAATCTCCCCCTTCCACATAGGATTTGGGTCCCCCCCCCCCACTTTCCTTCTGTGTCTTTTCCCCAAATCATGAAACATAGTTACAGAGGAAAGATAGGGAAGTGTGCCCCAAGCTGGAGGAAAGAGAGTGGTCTGCTGGTCAATAACTGTTGTCATAGAAAATTGCAAGACAGATTTCTGTAACTCATGTTCTATGCCTCATAAATCAGTATATGACTACTGCAGGACAGTGCTGCCGGCTTTTATAACTCACCGGCTGTGAGGACATGCATGCAGCCAATGCACTCTTGGCCTGTGAGGCACCCCCCCCCCCAGGAGAGGCCACTGATTGGCCCATTTGAGATGCAGCAGCCGGCGGGAATTCAAGCCAGAGGTCCCGGTGGCCAGGGGGAAATCCCCTAACGGCCGCCTGACCATGTGCACTCTGTTCTTACTGCCTGGGGAAGGCGGCCGAGTGCAAGGGACCTTGACAGGCACCCACTCAGAAAGGGGTAAGCATCCACTACCAATAAGATGGTGCAAATTATGAATGGGAAAACAGTTTTTTGTTCTTGGGAGTTGCTATCAACATGCTGTCCAGACTTTCCTCTAGTCTGCAGATTAAGTTCAGGAAACATTGTTTCGATAATCAATGCAAAGTGTATTTTTATACTTGTAGGCTCAGCTAAAAACAATACAGAAACTGGACCTAATTTTGAATCGTGCCATTCGACTGAAGGACCCTAACGTTATTCAGGCGGTATGTGCTACCCTGTGGAATACCTGCTTACCATTACTGCAGCACAACTTGCAACAGCATGTCCGAAGACCATTGCTAGCTATTGCTGAAATCCTAGAGAAAATTGACAGGTAAGTGGGTTTTGATATGTGTTTGTTGTTCTATGGCAGGCTTCCTCAAACTCGGCCCTCCAGATGTTTTGAGACTACACTTCCCATCATCCCTGACCACTGGTCCTGTTAGCTGGGGATCATGGGAGTTGTAGGCCAAAAACATCTGGAGGGCCGAGTTTGAGGAAGCCTGTTTTATGGGATCTGATACCCTTTGTATGAACTTCTGATGTATCAAGGAGCTGCTTTTTACTGAGTCAGACTATTGGCTTATCACAATTAGCTCTCCAGGCAGCAGTTTTTCCCAGTCTTTCTATAGAGATCCTTTTAACCAGATATCTGGCGCATATACAAACAACCCATGGCTTTACCACTGAGCTAAAGCTTCTCAGTGTTCTAGCCTTCCTATGTGACTATAATAACTCCACAGGTATTTCACTGTAAGATAATATTTTATGCTGTAGATTAAGTCATATACATGAATCCTTTGAAAATTGTTCTGTCGTTGCCCTTCATGAGCCACTTATGATCATTATACATATTTATATGACTCTCTCTTTGCCAGACTTACTGCAAGTGGAAAAGGGAAAGGTTTTTTCATCCAAATAAATCATTATTGCAATACAGATGCATCGCATAAGGAGAAAACACCTCTTCATAGTTTTATTGAATATGGTTATGTTTTCTAGCATGTTGATTTTGTTACGTTGCCAAGTTCATATGGAAATTGCCCGCATTGAAGAAAATGGAGACAGAATAGAGGCTGCCATGGAACATTTGCAGAAGGCAATTTATCTTGATAACAAGGGGCTGTATCATGAATACCTTAAAATGGCATTCAATCGGCTTAGCTTAAATACAATGTTATACCAGCCCCTGGAGCGTCTAGAAGACCAAGCAAGCTTGATGATTGAACAGGTAACTGCTGGTGAAGTTATTCAGGTATATTAGTAATAATATAATCTATCTATAAACTAGATACTCATGTCTCTCTCTGTGTGTATAAAACAAATAAAAAGTAGATGCAGATTTGACTGAGATAAGTAGCTGATCGTTCTTCATCACAAAGCAACCTATTGAAAATGTTAAAATAAAGGGTTATGCCCAATGTATATTTTGGGAGATAGATGCTAAATGAATAAATTTAGTTTGTATTTCCTCACTCTCACCAATTATTATAATTTTAACACTTTTTAGGATTTTCCAGAAATCTTAATTAACAGTAAAGAGCCATGATTATTTTATTTTATCCATTTGTATGTTTTCACATAACATTAATGTACTCTGGGTGGCTTACAATAAATGAGAAAAATGCAATTGAAATGCAAAATAATATAGAAAATCATAATATCCGAAGCCACATAAGACACTAATGTAGTCTCTCTGGCATGAATCCCGGAGTGAGAATGGGTGTGAAGAGAGATAATGTTTAAAAGAGGCCCCAGAAAAAGCATACATAATAAATGTAGCAGTTGCATTTATAAAATAGGGGTTTGTGAGCCTCTGTTGAATTGCTGGTGGTGAATGCCAAGAGGGGGAGGTATCAGTATGCTGAGGGGAATGCTAAAGTTTGCAGACAAAAACAAATATGTTTTAAAGTAACCCTAAGAGGAAATCCGCTCTCCTGCCCACAAACAATTCACTGAGGAGTGAATCAGTGTCAGCCGGAAAAGAAAACTGAGGGAAGGGACAATGGAACAATGTATTTTGGAGGGGAGGGTGGCTGACATCTCTCAGGGGACGGGGATACACCGCCACATTTTATTGTTGCTCCTGTTGTTGTTGTTTAGTCGTTTAGTCGTGTCCGACTCTTCGTGACCCCATGGACCAGAGCATGCCAGGCACTCCTGTCTTCCACTGCCTCCCGCAGTTATTGTTGCTCCTACCTGTGTAATAACAAATGATTTCCTTTGTTTAGGCTAAAAAAGGGACTCAAAAGGCTAGCGTGAGGAAAAAACGGTCTCTGTTGGTGAATGCTGGCCATGCACTCGCTCCCGAGGCATTTCAGATTGTCCTTGATAGTGAAAATGAAGTTAAAGGTATTATAATCTATCTGATGAAGCTTGTGTTGATGATATTTTGCCTAACCTAAGAATTGGATTTCAGCTGTCAAATATAGAGCCGGGAGGAGTAGAGTTTAATGAAATGTGTAAACTTTGTGGATTCTGCATCTATAAGCGCTCCATTCATTGTAGTGGCTGTTTCCTACCCTTCCTAACCTTTATTCATGGCAGGTCCTCGCCTCTGGCAAGCAGAGTGTGTAACTAGCACAAGTATCATTTTACGTGCTTCAGCTCAACTCACATTGAGAGGGTTTCTAGTGAACTTCAAAATGGAAATTCAGTAGCTCCTTCACTTTAGCAGTAAGAACAAAGTAGCTATATTTACCAGTTGACTACATTTCACACTGCTGGCCATGCTTCACCCCTATATAGAAAAAGACCTTCTTTGGCTTGCTGTCCACAAATCCTACTTGGCTTCACCTTCTGCTGGGCTGGGGTGTGCATTCAATGTGATTATTATTTAATGTGAATGCTAGGGGGAGATACAAGGTAAAATTGCAGTGGATAATATGATGATACTCATACCATCTTAACAGGTGTGTTGTGTTGCGTGAGGTAGTAGTTTCCCAAACCTGGGTCTCTGTTTTTGGACTACAGTTCCCATAATCCCTAAGCACTGGCCCTGCTAGCTCAGGATGATGAGAGTTGTAGTCCGAAAACTGCTGGAAACGCAAGTTTGGGAAATCCTGTAGTAGATAGATTGTTAGGAACAAAGAAACTTGAGTTCAAACTCTACTCAAACATGACCCTGGGCCAGTCACGCTCTTAGCCTAAATTATGTTATTGTAAGGATAACAAGGGCAAAGGTCTAACCTTGAGCTCCTGGGAAAATGTGACTTTAATAGTCTTCACATCTCCATCTTCAGGGGAAATGTGCTTTACAACAATGTGAGGCAGTCCATTTGGGGTGACAAATCCCAGAGTGGTTGCCATTCTCCTGCCTCTAACCAGTCATTGAACTGAACACATCAGCTCTAGTCCAGAGTAAGGAAACTACCTTTTAATTTTTCTACTCAGATATCAAGGCTGTTTTTTGAAATAATCCATATAAGCTGTTTTTAGTAATTCAGTCCTGAAGCGAAAACTGTGATCCCTCAGACAAAGTCTTGAGTGATCAAAAGCTTTCCAGTTAACATTTAATAGGCTTTTGACATAAATTATTAAAGATGAGCTTTAATTGAGGTAAACACCAGTTTCCAGTGAAATGTAGGTTCTCAAGACTTTCGGCGTCACATAGCAGAACACTTACTGCCTTTCTAAACAACCAGCTTCCTTTAAAACATATAAGTTTAAGTGTTGTATACCTTATGGTGACCTGCCTGACTTCTTGCTCTTTCATAGATTCATAGAATTGTAGAGTTGGAAGGGACCCCAGGGGTCATCTTGTTGAACCCCCCCCCCCTTGCAATGCAGGATTCACAGCTAAAGAATCTCTGACAGATGGCCATCCATCCTGTCTTTCAAAATATCCAATGAAGGAAAGTCCATAGCCTTCTGAGGTAGTCTGTTCCACTGTCAAACAGCTCTTACCATCAGAAGGTTCTTCCTGATGTTTAGTTGGAATCTCCTTTCTTGTAATTTGGATCCACTGGTTTTGGTCCTACCATCTGGAACAGCAGAAAACAAGTGTGTTCCATCTTCCGTGTTATATAGCCCTTCAGATATTCAAAGATGGCTGTTGTATCCCCTCTCAATCTGCTCTTCTCCAGGCTAAACATATCCATATCTCTCAACCAGTCCTTATAAGGCTTGGTTTCCAGACCCTTGATCATCTTGGTCACTGTCCTCTGCACACATTCCAGCTTATCAATATCCTTCTTAAATTGTGGTGCCCAGAACTGGAACAGTACTCCAGGTGTGGCCTGACCAAGGCAAAATAGAGCCTCTTCATATTCAGTGCCAGACAGCCACTGTTAAGTAGATTTAAATCAAAAGTACATCAATGTGAGACCATTTATTTGAATGAATCTTATTGAAAGCAGTGGGTCTTTTCCCTGTAAGGAAGTTTGTTTTGTTTGGGTACTTCCTGGTGCCATAAACAGGCCAGACTTTTGACTTGCTGGGATTTCTCTGTGCTCCCATTGAGTTGTTCACAATAATCAGCAAATACAGTGATACCTCGGGTTACATACGCTTCAGGTTACATATGCTTCAGGTTACACACTCTGCTAACCCAGAAATAGTGCTTCAGGTTAAGAACTTTGCTTCAGGATAAGAACAGAAATCGTGCTCTGGCAGTGTGGCAGCAGCAGGAGGCCCCATTAGCTAAAGTGGTGCTTCAGGTTAAGAACAGTTTCAGGTTAAGAATGGACCTCCGGAATGAATTAAGTACTTAACCCGAGGTATCACTGTAGAGATTATGGCTGTCTGAGAAGAAGTCAGTTTATAGTTAAAATAAGTTCCTGCCTCCTTAAGTTCCTTGAGTTACTTTCTCAAGAAAAAAATTCTGGAAATTTTCTGCCCCATGTCGTCTCACAACCAAGGCCTTCTCTGTGAACATCCATATTTATGCTGGTGCAGGAGGAAAAACTTGGGATCTTTTGTAGAGCACCTGCACCACCCCAAATATCCAGAGGGCTGTATATTTTACATTGGGAGAGGAATTCTGTGTTTCTGTGTGCAATGTAACATGCAGTTTCCCATGGCCACTGTAGGACTAGACACACTCTTGTTCTGATCCTGCAAGGTTTTTTTCGCTCAGCATATGTATGCTAAGTAAAGTGTTCACATAGCATTATTTTCACTACTCCTCAAATAGCGGGAATGAGGCTTTAACTTTAATAAATAAACAAACAAATGCTTAGGCACTTTACATAAAGTATCAATTGAAAGGAGATGATAGGTATGTTTTGAAATTACAACTTCTGCATTAAGAATGTGTACTTCTTAATATATGATATGATATGTTATGATATGATATGATAATGTGTGTCCATTGATGCAAAACATATTAAAATTTTCAAAGATTATTAGTAAGGGATACAATTCTATGTTCACTTGTCTGAGAATGAAGCTCAGTGACTGAAGTGGAATATCTTCTCAGAAGGTGAGTGTAGGATTGTGTTAAAAGAGTTCTAGTAAATACTATCAGTTCCATGATGCCTCCTGGTCCAGAAATATTTTAAAAATAAAAATTCTATGTTCATGTATTATTATTTAGAGTTATTGTTTGAGGGCCATATTAAAGCTTTTTCTGTCATGATTATGTCCAGGACGATAATGGGATGTTATTTATTGCCAACCTTGTTATATTTGTAGGAAAGCCTTATGTAGTATGCTTATAAAACCATGACTACTTTGTCATTACACTACTAAAATAATCCTTGTTTGACATATTGGTATTGCTGGAGTCATTTTATACCTGAGGGCTCAGTTCATTTTCCTGTTGTCTCTGTCAGTATAACTTCCTTTCTTTGTCAATTTTTTGGGGGGTTGTAACCACTTCCCCTCCTCTTTTCCTATTTGGCTGTCTTTTGTTAGTTTAAAACCCAGGGTTTCTTTGATTTAACACACTGCAGTGCCAGCTTCTATGGAAAAATAGTGTTAATGTTACATTAGCATTCATTATGTGGCTAGGATGTGTTATAAAATGTTTTCCCTCCAGGTTTATATTTCCTCAAGTCAACAGTAGCATGTCGAAAACTTGAAGATGCTTTAATATCTTTCATAGGAATCTTTATCTTTCGGCCATCTGGGTCACCTCTGAACTGGTTTGCTGTTGTTGAATTAGTCAGATAGCATTTATAGTATGTTTATCCTGCAGTTGTTCATTCAGTGGCTAAATCATCCTAGTATTCAGATTTTGAAATTACTGTGGTAGTAATATCATGAGTCTGCATTTTTCTCCTTTTCTATTAGTTGCTTCAAGTAAAAGTAAGGGTCCAATTGGCTATCTCTGTGCAAAAGCAGAGCATCACTCCAGAAATGTGGAGAAAGCAGATGGGCATTTGAAGAGAATAGGACGCGAAAATGATAAAGAGAGGTAACAATGAGAAATCTTTTTGTTTGATTTTTTTTATTGTAAAGTCTTTGAATTGGGGACTGTGTCTCTGCTTGCTACAGCCACCAGTCAATAATCAAATCAGGAAATGCTGTCTGTATCTGAATACACAGAACTCCTTCATTCTAATAAGGACAGACTATCCTGATTTGATCATTCTCATGCTTAATTCTCCCTTTGAAAACAGTAGTGCTTAGTTTGGGATGGATTGTGTTCAAATGTCATTGTGGCTAGGGGAACACTCTTCATCTTTTTTAGGACTAAGTTTCCGCATCCTATAAATGAGTATGTATTCCTGCATTTGTTTGTGCAGTCTTTTTTCCTAGGGCTTTTGTTGTTGTTGTTGAAAATTTATTTCGATCTTTTAATTCACGGGTAGGCAAACTAAGGCCCGGGGGCCGGATCTGGCCCAATCGCCTTCTCAATCCGGCCCGCGGACAGTCCAGGAATCAGACTGTTTTTACATGAGTAGACTGCGTCCTTTTATTTAAAATGCATCTCTGGGTTATTTGTGGGGCCTGCCTGGCGTTTTTACATGAGTAGAATGTGTGCTTTTATTTAAAATGCATCTCTGGGTTATTTGTGGGGCATAGAAATTTGTTCATTTCCCCCCAAAAAAATATAGTCTGAGCCCCCTGCTGGAAAAGTTTGCTGACCTCTGTTTTCATTGGTGCAGAATCAGACTTTGGTCAGAAATCGCAAAAACAGCACGGAAACAATGTGTGTGGGATGTGTGTCGGGCTGCGTGTAGATTCTGCCTCTTGTATGATGACAATCAAGCGAAGGTGTCAAAACGCAAGAAGTGTAAGTCAGTGTATTATGCATAATATTTTATCAGGTGGCATCAAGAAAATGCAAATGTGTTTTTTTTTCTTTTTTAAGCAGAAACCTGTTTCTGACCTGTTCAAGTCCTCAAAGGGGCATTTGGGCAAATCAATTCCCACATTTGATATAACAGTGAGCCAGAATGAGCAGAATGGCTCCCCTTTTTTTGGCTCAAGGTCCGAATGTAGATAATCTGGAAAGGGAATTATCACCTTCTCTCTGCTTATCAAATGGGCTTCTTCTACCCCCAGAGCTGTGTCATTTTTAATTTAGTAATTAATTTTGCTGATGCTGTCAACATTAGTGGGGTCTTGGGTGTCCGGGGGGGGGAGATTGAGGGCCAGATCAGCCCCTGGAATTGGGATGTGTGTGTTAGTGGCATCGGCTACAGAAATTTAGATATGGATAACATTAGTGGTAAATAGATTTTGTGCTAGACTCTACCTGTAGACCTGCTGAAACCCACAGGGTCAGCCCTAGATCTACCAAATGTTCCTTGTCTCTCCCTCCCTCCCTCTTGGAAGTTCAGCTGCTCCCTTCACCTGCATGCTTTCTTTGGACCCTGCACCCTGAGCCGGAAGTATTTGCTCCCATGCCTCAGATACCAGAATTTGTCATTTCAGGTCATAGCAACCATATTGTAATCTGTATCTGTACTTAAATTGTACCCCAACAGCTACAGAATGTAATGTAAGGATAGTGTATGTCTGCATGGTATTTCTAACAACCAAGAAGTCAAAGGAAATTTAGATTGCATGGTTAATGGGGGGGGGACAAATTTAAAACTAGAAAGGAGGCCTTATCATTTTTAAAGTTTATGTAAACGCATGCCTGCATACAAAAGTTGTTAAAATAATGCACATTATTTCTTTTTCCTAGTATTCAAGAAAAAAGCAAGTATTATTACGGCAGATGAGGAACAGGAAGCAAGTGTGCAAAGAGAATTACCTTCACCCACCAAATGCTTCTCTTTAGAAAGAGATTTATTAAGAACTTTAGCAGAAGTAAGATTCATTAATGCAGAGGTTAGTAAATTGTACAGCGATCAAAATAATTATCTCTTTCTTTCTGCCCTTGGTTTCATATATGCAATGCTAATAAGGCAGTGATATCCACTTATGCAAGCTGGCTACTGATGGCTGCTTATTTACGAGAGAAAGGGCCATAAAAATGTTGTCTAATGCAAGTGCTTATGCTGTTTATCTCTTATATGAGTAGAGCTCTGAAATCCACACACTATTTAATTGGGTTTCTTGCACTTAAACTGTCACAGGGTTTCTTCTCATCATTACTCCCGCCTTCTCTGGAAACATGGAATGTCAGAATATGTATTTTGGTATGCTTAATGCAGGCTCAGCGATATTAATAATTTTTAGTGGGAATATTGGCTCCTCCACTAGTCTTCTGATTTGTATTGGTATATTGAAAGATTGTTTTTCAACTTTATGTAAGCCATACCAATGGTATTATCATTGATTTGACCGTGAAAAAGAAATGCCTTTATTTATATCTTTTGTTTCATTTGTTTCAAAAGATTTATATTCCACTTAATTGTAATAAAACATCAAAGTGGTTTACAAAAAGAATAGCACAAAACAATTATCAGTAAAAAAAAACAACAACGCATACCACACTGTTAAAAGCAGCTATTTAAAACATTTTAAAATAATTAAATTAATGATAAGATAAAAACTAGATTAAAACTTATGTCAACAGTCTACATGTCTGGATAGGCTTGCCAACACAAAAATGCTTTTAGCAGACACCTTAAAGAATACAAGGAAGGCACCTGCATGGTGTCAATCGGCAAGGGTTTCCAAAGTGTGAGTGCTACCACACTAAAAGATCCAGAGGATGAAATTTATCTAAAAGTACAGGCTTAAAAGGATGCTACAACTACTAAATATTGTTCTTCAGAGTTTGATAATTTACCTTGTGGGATGCCGGGCCAATGATGTGGGTTTATTCTCATCACATGATTGCAGGCAGGGGCGAAGAATTGTGGGAGGAAGGCACGCTCCCCTCAGTTTTTTCCTCCCGCATGACACAGCAGTACATTTCTTCCCAGCTCTCCTCCTCAGTTAGGCTTTGTCTTTTTCCCCAGTGTGATGGATTATTGAAAGACGGATTGCTTGAGCTGACAAAACATGTAGAGAAACCTGCATATTAGTGTTCGGCTGGCATGCTCCCTTTCTTCCCTCTCCTGTAAGGAGAACAGCTGTAACTCAGGGATAAAGCATCTACTTTGCCCAGGTTCAATTCCCTGAATACGTGGAGCATAGGTGGCAACTCCCTGGATGCCTGAGCACCCACAAAATTCCCCATGAAGGGGCCGGGCACCCACATATTTCGGTGCCAGGGCCATGCACACTGCATGGCACCCACAGCCCTGAGCACCCATGGTCACAGGGCCAAGCTGCACTCCCACCCTGGAGAGCTTCTGCTGGTCAGTGAAGACAATACTGAGCTAGATGGACCAGACACCTTTGCCCTCCAAGCCACAGCTACTTATGTTTTAGGTAAAGGTACCCCCCCAGAGGGACGCGGGTGGCGCTGTGGGTAAAACCTCAGTGCCTAGGACTTGCCAATCGCAAGGTCGGCGGTTCGAATCCCCGCGGCGGGGTGAGCTCCCGTCGTTCGGCCCCAGCGCCTGCCAACCTAGCAGTTCAAAAGCACCCCCTGGTGCAAGTAGATAAATAGGGACCGCTTACCAGCGGGAAGGTAAACGGCGTTCCGTGTGCTGCGCTGGCTCGCCAGATGCAGCTTGTCACGCTGGCCACGTGACCCGGAAGTGTCTGCGGACAGCGCTGGCTCCTGGCCTATAGAGTGAGATGAGCGCACAACCCTAGAGTCTGGCAAGACTGGCCCGAACGGGCAGGGGTACCTTTACCTTTAAAGGTACCCCTGACCATTAGATCCAGTCGTGACCGACTCTGGGGTTGTAGCGCTCATCTCGCTTTACTGGCCGAGGGAGCCGGCATACAGCTTCCGGGTCATGTGGCCAGCATGACTAAGCCACTTCTGGCGAACCAGAGCAGCGCACGGAAATGCCGTTTACCTCCCTGCCAGAGCAGTACCTATTTATCTACTTGCACTTTGACATGCTTTCAAACTGCTAGATTGGCAGGAGCAGGGACCGAGCAATGGGAGCTCACCCCATCGTGGGGATTTGAACCGCCAACCTTCTGATCAGCAAGTCCTAGGCTCTGTGGTTTAACCCACAGCGCCACCCATGTCCCCACTTATGTTTTAGAAGATGTATAATTTTGATGCCGCATATGCCATCAATGCCTTGTTTTCTGTTTTCCCTCTTGTGCCTCCTCTTTTAGGCTACTATTCAGTTATTAAGAACGGAAGGTGTCCAACTGAATGATCCCGCCGTTGTTCCTGTAGATACGAGTTTGCACTCTGCAGGACATGCTATGCACAAAGCACAAACTGGGCATGAGTCAGAATGGAAGACATACAGGTGGTTTGATCTGAAGAACCTGCTTTTCTCATGCTCTCACTGCAATTAACCCTTAGAGCAGTTACATATGTATACTAATTTTTGAATTGTGAATGTGATCTTTAAGTGAATTTTAGGGGTCATCTTTTAAATTTTTGTGTGGTTGTCTAAACTCTGAAATGCAAAATTTGAATATTGGCCTCATTTGGTCATTGGTCATTTTTCCACACCTGCATTTTTCACAGTAATTAATATTGGCAAGAATATGCTTTGAGGGTAGCACATCTCTTAGCTTATTGTTGACACCCAAATCTGTCCAGTAAAAGTTGACTCTCCAGTAGATTTATCACAATTATATTAATAAGTACATCTATTAATCCCAGGGTTGTGGGTTTGAGCCCCATGTTGGGCAAAAAAACTCTGCATTGCAGGGCTTTGGACTTGATGACCCTCCTGGTCCCTTCCAACTCTACAATTCTATGATTCTATGAAACATAGCCATACTTGGAAATTTGCACTTCTCCAATTTTTGCGATGGATTTGTCCAGCCAAGTAATGTGTACAAAAATGCATATTGCATGCCCAGCCACAGAGTCCCCCTCCCCACAGAGCTAACTACTAACTACTAGGGTATATGAATAAATGGACACCACAACTGTCTGGGATTAAAAAATATTACGCAATCGGGGTCAGCTGGTTTTATATGCAGTGCCAAATAAATACTTGAAACAGAGACCCTTGAAACAGATCTCTCATGTTTAATTAAAAAAAGAGGCAAAGGCTTCAGTCCAACTTGGAAGCAAGAAGACATAAATTTGTTAAATAAGCATGACATACGATGCATGGGGCATGACAATATGAACTGCTGCTACTGGAAATGCTGCTTGAAGCTACATGGCTGCATATTTCAGCTTTCCAGAAAAGCAAGGCAGAGTGGTTCACTGATCTTTCATGTCCTGGAGGGACCCTGTCACTGTAGATAAGTTAGACAGAATCCTGCAGCTGAAAAGCAGCAGGCCCACATTAAAATAATTAGAAATCTGTACGCGGTTTAAGAAAGCATTGCACCAAAGAAGTATCGAGTGGGAAATTATTCATCCTTAATTATTTTCATCTGCATTCCCTTTGACAATGGTTGTTCCGTCGTTTTATTTCTCCTGCCAGCATACATACCTTGCTGCCTCATGGTTGTACTATCAAACTGTAAAAGCTGATACTTCATTAAGCTTGGGGCTCCAAAATTTTCAGACCACAACTCCTCCTGGTCAGAATGGTTGGTGAAAACAAATGCAAAGGGACTATGGTCAAATATCTATTTTACTGCACATTAACTTGGGCCAGTTTAGACCAGACTTTCCTAGAATATGTAACGTTTAGGATGGGGGAATATGGTTTGATCAAGTTCTCATCTCTTCCCATTTTTGTAAAAGGCCAATGGGACTGGGCTTTGATAATTGCATCCTTGCCCCAATCTTGTTTCCTATTGATAATCCACCAATACTACTCTTTGCTCATTAGAGAAAACCTTTCTCACGTGGGGCAGAAGATAACTTCAGTTGTGGGTTGTGTGGATGGAGTGGACTTTTAGAAAGCTAAGGCAGCGCAGCGGCTAGCAATGTGGAGTTCAGAATCTGGGAAAACCATAAGTTTCCACAACTCTGCCTTTTCAATCCTTGGGAAGTCAGAATACTCTTTGTATTTCTATATGAAGGTTGTGTTGGCGATTGTGCATGTGTATATGAATATGTACATTTAAGAGGCATGAGTGTATTGATGACCCTGGGTTACTTTGGTCTTAGTAAAACAGAAAAGCAAAGAGAAGGTCTGAGGATTGAACTATAGCTATTTTAATGGTAGCATTTGGAAATAATAGTGTTTGAGAGAATTGAGGGCTGGTACTCCTTAGTGTATGCATTTTGCTGTTTTATTTTATTCTCAGCAGGGGGAGCAATATAAAAATCCTTGCTTACTCTCAATTTCATAGCTCCTGGATTGACCGCTTGTCTCAGTATGCTATGGAAAACTTTTTACGGGCTGCCAAAATTGGAGAAGAATTAAATGAAGCATGGATTGTACATAACACTGTAGTGTATGTCTTAAATCACAATAAACACCTTATTGCTGCAAAAAGACAAAGAGAACTTGTGGAATCCCTGCATACTCTTTTCAGTGCAGTTAGGAATATTGGACATTTTGGGTAAGTTCTAAAAGTTTGATGGGATGTTTTATGCAGAATTATTTTACTAACGCCATAACTTTAATTTTTACCATGCTGTGCCTCAGCATCACTAAAATACATTGGTTTGGAAGGATTTTATTGTGGTAATCAGTAGCATGTTTCAGCTGATTTTCATACTTTATATGCTTTATCTACCCAAATCTCATCTATCTGAAATAGTGACAGTTTTTATAAGTGACATCCGAGTGGCCAATAGCAATGAAACTGTGCTGTGCATAGTCAAAGGAAAATGTGTGCATGCACCATTTCCTTAATTCTGAATAGCCTGGCATTTAGACAGATTCTGTTAGGTGCATTCAGATTTAATGCACAGGGTTTATTGTAAATAGTTAACAATTAATATCAACCTGGTTTGAGTTTTTAAAAGTTTTTGTTGTTTGTTTTTTTTAAAAGAAGACAGGCTATGTGACATGGCTTGCAGGCCAGCTGAATTACAAATATAACTAGTATCTAAGCTATTATGAACAATTTACTGGTTTATAATTGTATTTCATGTTTTTCCTGTTGGAAAAAACTGGATGATGTTTTGTAACCAGTTCAGACTATTGGCATCCCTACTACATGTTAGTCAAGAGGGGGCTATGCAGTTCTGCCAGCAGGGATCACGCAAAGGTGTTGAATGTATGCTGTAGGCGTTCTACCCTGGCAGCCACCACGGTTTGCGAAATCCATTTTCCAGGCCACTGTCATCTTACAGCTTGTGGCAGCCATAGATATAGACCCCATGTAGAGGCAATGATTCTCACAACTGACACTTCCACATGGTCCCTGCTGAGTTGTGAAAGTGGTACACTCTCCCTCACATGGAGCTGCTGACAATACCAAAAAAAAGGTATTTCTTAGCAGGCAGTGCAGTCCTACATTCCAGGACTTGCACGTATTTCACCCACAATATGTAGAGGGGAACAGTCTATTCCCCTTTTATTATGTCAGGACAGGAATATAGTGTCAGTGCCTTTATCATACTGTACATAATCCTACACTTTTCAAGCATTATTTGGAAAGGAGACCGGATGAGAGAGGCCCTCAGTCATACAACAACTAGCTAAAAGGAGATTGTTACAAACACTCTGTTATCACTCAGGCATGGCAAGAAGTTGAATGGAGGACTTGTGAGTTTTAATTCTGATCCCAAGAAGATTGGGACGTATGAGAATTTTCCCCCATTTTGGTCACTGAGCTTATATTTCTTACTTAAATGTTAGCATATTTGTATATTCTTACTATAATTTTCACGTATGTTATATAGAGCATATGCATTTTAATCTTCGCATGTGTTTTTTTTATTTATGTAGGTGGCGAAACGTGCTTCCATATTCTGTTTGTAACGATATCTTTGTGGGTGGTTTTCCGTCCTTCGTTTTGTTTCTTATTCAGGAATACTACTATTTTGGTGACATTATGTAACGCTCTGGCTCGGGGCCTAATTCTTCCTTGGATCCCAAAGCCTATTTCCAAACCTGATGAAAAGAAAGTTCCAGAAGAAGGGCCCACCAAACGTAGAAAGACTGCTCCAAAAGTACCAACGTTATCTTCCGCGCCAGTGTTGTCTGTGGATTCAGCTGGGATCCATGATATTAAAGCAGCCATAGAGGTGCACCTTTTTTTCATCCCATTTGTCTTCTGTATGGAGGACAGGCTGTGTAGAGCTGGGCTGGCCAGCTTGTTAAGCCTGGGCGAGAAGGTGCTGTTTGTTTTGCTCCCAGTTGTCCAGGGCATTGGGTGTAAAAGACTGTTAGAGGATATTTATTCATATTAGGAGCGTGGAAAGTTGCATGAGAAAGTTAGATCATTAGTCCATCTAGTTGCATATGACCTAAACCATGGGTGGGTAACCTCAGGCCTGGGATCTGAATGTGGCCCCCCAAGCCTCTCTGCTGGCTGGCTCTCTCTCTCTGTCTGTCTGTCTGTCTGGCTCTGCTCTGTCCCCCCCCCCCAATTCCTTTTTTCCCCCTTTCTGAAATGTATCCTTGAACTGGCATAATGCTTCTTGTTTAACTGCACAGAGGATTGGTGCTTGAAACAGCAATGGGTTGATATGGGTCAACAAATTGAAACTGAATCCCAAAGAGACAGTGGCATTATGTGCTCCAAGTTCTTGAGTCCAGGAGATGGGAAGACAGCTTGTTTTGGATGGAGTTGCACTCTACTTGAAAAGCAGGCTTGCAGCTTCAGGATCCAACACGGTCACTTGAAGCTCAGGGATCCAAATAGGAGTGCCTATTTGTTGGGAGCTGCCCAGAGGGGCTGCGTATAAATAATAAATTGTTGTTGTTGTTGTTGTTGTTGTTGTTGTTTTTTATTATACTGGAACCTCGGTTTTTGAGCGTCCCGGAACCCAAACACCAAAAACCCGGAAGTGAATGCTTCCGTTTTCGAACACGCCTCGGAAGTCGAACGGCTTCCGAGGTGCGTTTCTCCCTTTTATCCATTGAAATGGCCAACCGCCCATTGTGCCTCCATTGTCAAACGTTTCGGAAGTCGAACGGTCTTCCAGAATGGATTACATTCGACAACTGTGGTTCCACTGTATTTCCAGCTCCGACTGGCTTGTCTGCTATGGCCCCCTTTGGGCCATAGCACTCTGTGCTCTGGTAACTTCCAAATTAGAATACTGCAATGTGCTCTATGTGGGCTGCTCTTGAAGATGACTTGGAAATTTCAGCTTGTCCAAGATTGCTTGCTGGCGTTGCCTCTAGAACTCACATGAACACTTGTTGTACAACAGCTTTTTGTTGGCTGCCAGTTTGTTTCTGGGTACAATTCAAGGTGCTCACACTAGGGTTTAAAGAATAATGGTGAGCTAGACAATGTCAGGATCCCTTGAAACAAGTACAGCTACTACTGTCTACTCTGTCCCTTCATAGCAACAAGGCAAGAGGGGAAGTAGGAGAGGGAAAGAGGCAAAATTTTCAGCTGTCTACTTGCTGCTACCATTCCACCACCAAGGGAAGGGGAGGGAGATAGAGGGTGTGTTCTGGGGGTTGGTAGATTTGGAGAATGAGTAAAGTGTTGGAGATTTGTGGTGGGAGCACCTGAGATTGGTCTGGGAGGTTTCCTGATTTATCCTTCCCACTTCTGTGTTTTATGTATGCCACCTTGACAACTTATAAAAGAGTGTATAGAAATATTATAAATAAATAAATAAGCCAAGATTATTAATCTCACCATTGATTTTTTGGGAGAAAATATACCAAGTGTAGTAATCTCAGTTCAACAACTGGATAACACAGAATATTTGTTAATTGTGTGCATGCATTAACTTTTTCTTCTTTCACATTTGCAAAATATTCTTCTTTAGGTTTGTGAATTTGCTATGCATTTGCCAAATGGGAGTGTACCTGATGAGCCGGTGCCTGCTGCTATGCGTCAACAGGTCATTGCTACTTGGGTGAAAGCCAAACAGCTAGTTCAGCATCAGATTGGGAAGTGGCTTGGAGTCGATGACGAGGTAGCAAGCCTAATTGTTTGAAAAAATAAAGTCCACTGTTGGGCACTTCTTTATAAATACTTTGTTTCAGGGACGGAACATCGGGTTACAGACGCTTCAGGTTACAGACGCATCAGGTTACAGACTCCGCTAACCCAGAAATAGTACCTCGGGTTAAGAACTTTGCTTCAGGATGAGAATAGAAATCGTGCGGCGGCAGCAGAAGGCCCCATTAGCTAAAGTTGAGAACAGTTTCAGGTTAAGAACGGACCTGGAGAACGAATTAAGTTCTTAACCCGAGGTACCACTATAGAGTCATTACTGCAAAGAGAGCTCATTTCCTCCTTTCCCGTTCTCATACAGGAAAGCAGGCAGTTAACCGGAAACACTTCTGCTTGTGGAAGTCAGGGCACCCTGTTTTTGCAGGTCTGCCCCCTTCTGCTGCAATCCTCTAAACTGCATCCCATTCCGTCCCAGCAAATCCTTGACTTTCAGCAGCAGCTTGTCAGGAGGGGCAGGCAGCTTAAGTGGATTGAGGGAACAAATCAGGTGCCCTCACTCGCCCAAGCAGCAGTTCTTTACACTAAAGCAAAACCACCATTAGATACAACCCAAAGTCATTATAGAGTTATCCATGTGGATTAGTAAGTAGCGTAAAGTATCGGTCCTTAACTATTCAATAATATGCCTTGTTTTCTGCAAACACCCTGAATATTGATGTCTCTTTCTATTCAGGGTAATGAAGAGGGGTTCACTCCCATGGCAAAAGTTTTTATTGGTTTGGAAATGTACTCCTGCAATGGTTTGGGTCTCATGGAGTTTTCGCTTCCAAACCTCTCTCATGTACGTATGTTGTTCTTTTGACTGTATGTGTGCAATTACAGCTAGTAGCTTGGTTTAAGTGAGGCAAACTATGGCAAGCCGAGCCAAACCAAACCATGGTTTAGCTCACTCACATGAGCACAGCTGCAAACGCCGTTTGTTCTCTGGGAGCTCACGTAATTGTGTGTTCCTGCCAAGTCACCTTTCGGCTTACATGCAAGCCAACTCAACCTATAAATGTCCTGGACTAGCTCTGGCCAGGGCTGCTACCCCTTTGCTAGTGTTTTCATTAAGAGGAGATTCAATTATACTCTTTCTTCCGCCCAAGTGATCCAAAGTGTGTGATTCTATCTACGTTCTGAGCCTCTTGAGAAATGAAAGGCTTTGTGCTCTAAAAAAAACAGGCACTGAGAACATGGTTGCCTTTAGGATTTCAATTCCAATGCAAAGGAGATAGGTTTCTTTGAATTCTTCAAAGAGTTTTCCTTAATTTTATTTGCTCATGTATTATATCCCACTTCTACATGGTATTCTCAGTAGTTTGCCATCTCTGTTTCCAAACAGATCCATACTTGCACAGCACTGCAGCATCAGGTGCTCCCAGACCATTCTGTACAACAACAGTGTGCAATATCTCATTCTGTGAAATATCTTAGACTGAAAATATTAGATGCTGGCATTGTGGACACAGGAAAATATTATCTGACTATCATTTGCAGTTGGTGAAAATGGCATTGGAGTGCAGTTGGTCAGACTCACTCGTGGAACTTCAGACAATGACCAGACTTGCACATTTTGCGCACACCATCCATGATCATGAAATGGTTATGACTTGCTCTCAGAAGGCTTTGGAATTAGATGATAAAGCAGCATACAACACGGATGCAAAGAAAAAGGCAATGTAAGTAGATGCATGACTAACAAATCTCGACTTCTAAGAAACATTGGGTGGTATTCAGCTAAGTTTTATCCAGAGTAGACCTGTTAAAATTAATGGACCTAATTTCATCATGTTCATTAATTTCAGTGGATCCATTCTGAGTAAAACTTAATTGAATACCACCCCATTAATTATATTTAAATATGGGGTGGAATTCAACATTGTATTGTTACAATTTTTCCATCTGTGCATGTTTATTAGCTTACCAGGCAGAGTGATCTCCCCATCTCTCCCCCTATGCCCTGTTCTGGGGGTTCTCCCAATCCTAAGCCCCATTGTGCAGGGTTTTCCCTGGTGCAGAAGCTGGTGCAGATGTAACAGCTGATCTCTTAACAGCAGTTAAAATATTTGGAACAGCACAGACCCTTCCAAGAGGAGTTTCCCCATTCCATCCTTTCCTCAGTTAAGTAATATTTTGACACCATTAACTGTTAGTTAAAGCTACAAGGTTCCAAGTTCTCTTAACTAGGCTTTGAAGTTGGTATAAGATGCTTGTTATATTTAACCACATTGTTTGTGGTGGGATGATTGAAATTACTCTGGGCCATGCAATCCTGTGTCCCATTACCTCTGTTGAGATATTTCCCGTTACATCTGTATGGGCCCTTGGGTGGTCATTCTCTTGCTCTTCAGTCTCTGCAGTATTGACTGTTGAATAGCGGTTTTGTGGATGAATTCATTTTATCCGCATCTTCCTCTTGATCTACATAGCTGCATATGAAATATTTTGTTCTCAAGCATTCCTTAGTTTGTGAAATACTCTGTTGGGTTTTCCATTCCATTCCCATATCTAATGAATGGAAATAGCATCCCATCTTTTATCAGTGTCCTTTAGCCAACTTTAACCCGATAGTTTTCATGCTGTTGATAAATACAGTTCATTATGAATATTAGAGCTGAAAGATAAATACGGCATAGCAGGGGCTGGGAAAATGCTTTTATATTTTCCTTCTGAATGTGTACAATGGAACTCTGCTGACCTCTAATGGATATAATAATTATTGCATTATACTATTTGCCCTAGGTTGTATCTGTCTATGTTCAGGTTAGTCATAAGGGTAAAAGTAAATAGGGCCAAACTAAACATGGTATACAGTTGCATGTAACATTGACCCTTTTTTAAATAAATAAAGAGAGAGAATCAACTACAGGAGGATGAAGTTTTAAGCAGAAAACCAGGAGGTAGAGAAGAAGTGCTTCTTCTTTTTCCTTGGCCCATTTTTATGCTGAATCCTCCCAGTTTCCAATATCTGCAATTTGTACATGAATAATTTGTATATCCCAGCTGTCCAGATTATTTCTTGTAAATGATTTTTAGCATTTCAGCTTGATATGAGAAGCCTTCCCAAACTCCTATTCATTTTCATTCAGGTTTTAATGGCATAGGTTGTTTTGAACTGTATATTATCCATATGCCTTTTGCATGTCCTCTAGACCATTTCAGTTTATCAGATTTGTTGTGGTATTTCTTTCTCTCAAAAATGGTACCCAAGGTGGTTTTCGACATTGAGATAATATCATGTAACATTATATTGTAACATTATATAGTAATGATACTATAAAAATACTGAAGAAGAGCTGAAACGGCTTCAGAACTGTGTGGAGGCATAACATTTTGCACGGAGACTTTGATTTTAAAGGTGCAATCCTCCTCTTCGCAATGGAATTCCTTTAAATAAATCCTGCTCCGAACGCCATTGCTGTAGCAAGAGCCAGTCTCTCAAGTTGTAGAGTACATCCTGGAAACGAAAACATTCATACCAGGACAAAGAGGCTGCCGAGCCTAAATCGGCTGGCACTTCAGGCTGGTACTATGGGCTTTTGCAGATGGTGCACAGAATGGCCATGTGCTGTTTCTGCCAAGGAAACGACCACGGACATTTATGCAAATGGACAGGAAATTTCCCTGTGAACTCAGATGCTTCAGATTTTGCCACAAGCAGAATACGATTGGCCAGATCACTGGTCATCCTGGATAAAATGAATACATTGGATTTGTATCAGGTTTCAGAACAATTCGTGAATGAAAGGATAAGCTTTGTTATCAAAATCTCTTGAGCTATTCAGACATAACATCAGAACAAGGATCATGCAGATATTACTAAACTATCAAGTTACTGACACTGTGCAGCAGGCATGGCATGCCTCTCGCCTCTCTCTCCTACGCAGAATGCCCCCCTAACCTACTACCTGGGGCACGTCCCCCCTCCCACCCACCTTAATCCATGCCTCAGAACCGAAACTCCCAATCAGTGCTTTTCAACTGTAGTCTTTTATCTCTCTTTTCCCAAAAAGAAGCAGATAAGGCAGACAAGAGAGAATGAATAATAATAATAATAATAATAATAATAATAATAATAATAAATTGTCCAGTAGCACTAAGTTTGTTCTGGGTATAAGCTTTTGTGTGCATACAAACTTCTTCAGACACAATAGCTTATACCCAGAACAACCTTAGTTAAGGTGCTACTGGACAAAAAAATTTTTTTATTTATTTCGATTGTGTCAGACCAACACAGCTACCTCCCTGAAGGTAGAATGAGTTCCAGGTTTTTATTTACTTAGGTTTTATATGAGGTGGCTGTTGGTTTTTTTCTTCTTCCAATTTTAGCTTTCTGTTTAGCTTTTCTGTGTTGGAACAATATTTAGTGTTTATACAATTGAAGTGTGAACTTGTATCAAGTTCAGACAATCTGATTTTCAGAGCGTTCCACAGGTAGATGCTTCCCACCAAGGGACATGAACATCCTTGTGCTGGCAGATGGTTTTAAAGCCTAGTTTTTGACCCATATTGTACGGTAATGTTAACTCCAGTTGGCAATGGCTTGTTTTTTACAGAAGCGATTATGCGGAGAGACAGGGAATGCTAAGCATTGCTGCTTGTACACAAGGGAAGAGTATGATGGAAAATTTGGCTGGGAAGAAACATATGCGTTTGGCGGCATCAAAACTCTTTGTTGAAAGTGCAAGGTATGTTGCACGTTTTGGATCATATTAAGTTTCCTTTCCTTTAAAATAACAATTGTATATACCCCATACATATGCAAAGCCCATGCAATGAAGAATATTGACAACATCAGAATTTTTACCTACGCAGAACATTCATATTCTCCTTACAGCATAGAGTTACAGAATTGTAGATCTGGAATATAATAATAATAATAATAATAATAATAATAATAATAATAATAATAATTTATTATTTATACCCTGCCCATCTGGCTGTGTCTCCCAGCCACTCTGGGCAGCTTCCAACAAAACACTAAAATACAATAACCTATTAAACATTAAAAGCTTCCCTAAAAAGGCTGCCTTTAGATGTCCATGCACTAGATAACCATGAAGGTTATCTAGTGCAGGAATCTTTCACCTAACATGGGGCTCAAAACCCTGAAATTAAGAATCTCATGCTCTGCCGACTGAGCTATCTTAGCATGCTATTGATTTCTTCAAACATCATGGTACCCACCTATGGCTTACTGGGTCTAGAGTGGCCGACAGGAAATACACATGTATAAGGCCCCAAGACCCTTCACTTTCATTTGTTCAAAAAAGTATAACAGTGAAATATGGAGCCACTGTTCTAAGGCTGCAGATGCAGAGGCGCCAAGGATGCTGCATCACTGTTGCTAAGCAACCTGGGACAGGAATGTTGCCCACCCGCACCTGGGACTTGGAAAGGGGCCGTGTCTCCCAGAGATCTAGCAGACATTTTTTTAAAGTTCTCAGCAGTATGGCTTATGCATTATAGAAACATTTTAGCGGAGGCTTGAAGTTACTAATTATTGTGGCACATGCTTTTTCAGTTCTTTGGACGAGTTGCCACATGGGCAATAGAGATATTTGCACTTTCCATTTTTGTGGAGGAGGGAAAGCAGTCATGCCTTCTCCCACATGTTTGCTCTCCAGGCATGGCATCAAACCATCTCACATTGCAACTTCCACCCTGTGAAATTATTATATACTCTGATGTATTTAAATTGGCATCTCATAATGGGAAATGTGCTCAGGATAGATATGAAAGTAGCTTGAAGCTGGTTAAGGGTTAAATAGCTCCATTATTTGGATTTCAATCTTAATGGAGCATTAGAAAAAATGTCATTTATGGAAATAACATCAACCTTTATAGATACATGGCTCTAATCTGTACCTCTGAGGTTAAAAATGCTATGGACAGATGGCCTGAATATCTGCAGATAAAAATTTATGTAAGGAAGTATCAGTGTAACGTTTCCATTTTGATGAACAGACTGCATTTGGAAAAACAAAATACCAATTGGTGATAAGAAACATCTATAAAGTACTGTTAGGTTCTGTTAAGCAACACACCTCTGTTTAAAATTTAATGATAAACTGGATGCAATATTTAGGTCATCTAGTAAGTTCTGACATTTGGGGAAACATCTGGATATGTCGCATTATTTTTTCACCTTGTGCTAACCTGAGGGAAAACTGCTATGAAGTGATGACCAGATGGTATATAATTCCTCAAAAATTATAATTATAGGCATAGAGGATCCTTTCTATTGCAAATGTAACTGTGGTTATTTTTTTAAAAGCATGGCAATGGGAAATTATTTTCAACAAAACCACAGGAATCTGTTAAATAACTTGGAGTTCCATTCACAATTACACAATTTTTTTCTTTACAATGTGCAAAGATATACTATACATATATTTTTGAGTGGGAACAGATGCACATTTTCCATAGACTTTTTTTCATTTATAGAAAACATACCCCCCTTGTTATGGAGTGAATCCCTTAATACATTTAGGAAATGTGATATCTAATCCTTACAAAAGGATTCTGGGCTTGCTGCACTGTAATTGAATCAAATTTTTACTACATTTTGCAGCAGCCACCTGACTGTATTGTGTTTTCCACCTTCCTAGGTATGCAGGAGAAGCTGGGGATCTTTCTCTTGCTATGATAGCAGCTAGACACTTCTGGAATGGCTGCTTACCCTTCATTGGTTCCTCAGCGGATAGACAGCAGCTCAAGAAGCCCACTGAAATCATTATCAAGAGCATCAATAAAGCATCAGAAGCCAAAAATAAGCAGGTAATAAATAGTAGTACCTTCTATATCTAATACCCTTTTATGGGAATGTTTTGCCTTCAGACAATTCAAAACGGAACGAGCAGCTTAAAACTAAATCAGGGCTAGTTCATTCATATTGTTATGTGACATTTGCCAAGAGGGCCTGAATTTGCTGGTTGGGTCTTTAGAATAACTAACTAATCAACAGCCCTTCACTTCCCCCTTCTCTTGGCTCCTTAGCCCACAAACCACCAAATCTCTCTTACATGTCCACAGTCTACTGCCATTGAACGCACACCTTATTTGAGCTGTATTGCCAGCCAAATAGACCTTCCTTCAGAGACGTTTGCTTTGTCAAAACTGTATTAAAATGTTCATGAACACTCCCCCCACCCCTACTTCATTATTTAGGAAATGGAGCGTATGTTACACTTGCATCAGTGGCCTACAACAGACTTTCAAAGCAGTAGCTTCTCCGATGGGCATTCAGGTAAGTTCTCATCCTTTGATCATGAAGTTTGCTTGGTTTTTGTGAGGTGGGTGTATTGGCTTTGCAATATCTAAAATATTGCTTTTAATCTGTTTCAAAGGTGCTGATGAGGATTTGACCTTAAGGACGTTCTTATATATATTACTGTTCCAAGTTCATGCTGATAAACATGACTGGGAGGCAGGCCTCAAAGTCTTAGATGAAGCTAATCAGATGCTCCCTCGAACTAAGCACAGACTGTAAGCTGTTTGGATTGTTCTTAGGATGTGTTGGGGGTTGCTGGTGTTTGCTGTTGTTTTACAATCTAGAAATACTGATCCGAAAGATGGAGAGGGAGTGTGGAACTCTAGGAGGAAGTGTGGAAGAGGGGTAGAACCTTAATGGGAGAAGGAGAGTAGGTTGAAAGTGAGGCACACCCAAAGTAGTTGTGCAGAGGTTCTGCTGGTGTGTGTTGCACCTTGCTAACCACTGAACCACCCCACCGCCCTTCCTCTGGTAAGCAACAGTGGCATGCATTCCAGGAGGCTAATGTTGTGCTCTGCCCTACTCAGTGAATCGCTTCTGGTAGTATTTGCATAGTACAGGATGGTCTCAGGGCCCCCTCCCTTTCAAACTTTAAAGGTGAAGCTGCACTGATTGGCTGAGCACCCACTGGCAGTGCAGCTGCCCCACATTTTCTGCTTTTTCTCTCGTGCTTCTGAGATGACAACAGGTGGAAGTTGAACTTCCCTAGCAGTTGAAGGCAAAAATCACTGTTCAGATTTGAAGAAGCTACTGGGGTTCTGTTGTATACTGAGAAACCTCTTTTGGCATTAAGCAGTGTGTAAACTAATTAATAATGGTGATGATTAGAATTAAGTGTTCATTATCAAGTCTCAAGAAGTAAACGCCGTGGGAGGAATTAAACATTCATCAGCTCAAGCATTTCAGCTTCCTGGACGGAACGGTTCCCACCCCCTCTCCTCCCCTCATGCACCGTTTTGTTGGTTCCCCCAACACTCCCCTTCTGAGCCAGTTTAGAGAGGAGAGAAGAAGAAAGAAGCCCCATTGCATGAGTGGAGGTCCATGTGCAAAGCTTCCACTGCTGAGACTCATTAGGTGGATCCCTCCCTATGTTAGAATATTGTCTCAAGTCTCATACATATTTATCCCGTATGCATTTTTCAGACTGAACTCTGGGCTAAGATTAATTGCTGTAGATTGGTGGAGACAGAAGGACTTGTCACACATATATGTTGACTTCTGATTCCAAAATGCATCATAAAAGCCTTAAGATATCACTTAAAAACAACTTATATCAAATCAGTGTTGAGCATTGATTTTGTCAAATTCTTTTTCCTAGCCCAATATTTAAACAGATGGTAATGGTGAAGTCAAGACTTGGGCGTAACTATATAATGGAAATTCAGAAATTCAGAGATGAAAGTGAAGAGTACATGTCAGATATGTGGCATCGTCTGGCATCTGTGTCGTCAGATCTTGTGGGACAGTTGTCTTGCTACCAAAATGCAATTGAAGTTTTACAGGTCTATATCTGCTTTCTTTTAAAATGTACTTTTAAAATATTACTGGTATGTGTTTCTAAATTGTGAAGATTGTAACAGCAGTATGGCAGGCAAAAATCAAACAAGTTAAGCCATTTCTAGTATGGAAATACAATTACGGGAAAGTTTCAACAGCCCTTTGTCAGCCATTTTATGTGTGTGGCCAATTTATTTTGGGGCTATCCACTCCAACTGCAAAAGAGGACATAAATTTGTATATAACACCAGTTTATGCAAATCTGTGTCCTCTTTTGTGAGTAGGTCATGGGCCCAATCTTTTGGGCCCAGAAAATCCTATTGGCACTCATATATATATATATATCTGTGGTGTGTTGCTTGAGACACTATGCATAAAAGTTTATTGTAGTATTCTTGTTGTCCTTATGCATTCTTTTCATAATGCAATTTCTGTTGTTCTGATTTGTTTTCTGACCACTTTTTTTCACTGATGATGAGTCATCAGTAGATGTTTAATATATTGCTTTGCTAGTATGTTTGCAAATAATGCTGTTGGTTAACTTGAGATGTTTGGATTCCTAACAGCTGTGGACATACAAGTTCCCTAGTTTGCCTGAGATCAATGCATTCCTGGTTGCATATTTAAACTTATTCTTTTGGTCTGAAAGGAAATAAAACATATTTTTCAAGAACAACTGCTCTCTTTCCAACCAAACTCCCCTTGAGCAAATCTCTATTTTGCTGGCTGGCAATAATGTATTTACTACTGCACAGGTTGCAAAATATGTCTGGGCTGCAAATAAGTTGTGAGCTAGGAACCAAGACAAAGTATCAGGAGATGTGGAGTGCTTAACCTAGGCAAGAGTGATTTTTACATTTTTGTATGTTTGCTTTGCTGATATTGTTCAGTTTTAAATCAATTATTTGTTTTCTCACATTGTGACCAATTGTGATGGCTTAATAGCTTTTAGCAATAAAGATTCATTCATTCATTCATTATCAAGAACAACTAGGTTAAGAATGCATTCCCTGTTTTTATACAGAAAAAAGAATATTCATTAAAGAAAGTTGATAATCTAATAGCATTTGCAGAATGGCTGTACTCCAATCAGTTTCCTCTTAGTGAAGCTATTAAACACCTGGACTGGGCAGTATATATATTATTGTACCTGAAACCTCTCCGAAAAAGCCCTGAAGAAGAAGGTATGTCTTTAAATAAATCTAAAATAATAAGTTATTTCAGAGTTTGCCTTTCCAGTGTGTTCTGATATTTTAGTAACCTGTAGAACTTTCTCTTTGACCCTGAGGACATATTTTAGTTTAGGCTTCTGAACAGTACTTTTTATATTAAATTTATAGGTTTTAGCTTGCATGACTTCTCCTTTTAAAATGAAGATAAATACAAACTCTCTACCATGAATATCCTGTGTAGTTTACTGCAGACAGATCTAGAGAACTGCTACATTTTTTATTTTAAAGTAATGGCAAATGAGATGTGTTTCTTCATTCTAGCGTCACTAGATGTAAAAAAAACCTACCTAGGTGAACATAATCCATGTTAAAATTGTGGCTAAATACAAACTTAACGCTTCCACCCCAAGCCAGCTCCTCCACATGCCCCCATTTTGCTTGATATCCTGATCATGAGTTCTGAAGCTTGTTCACAAGTTTGTGACACTTTGGTTGCCTGGTAAAAGTATTGACCTAGTGTGGATTTTGGATTTTGTTCGTATGAAAGAATGTGGTTACGTTTGCTTTATTGTTATTTCTGACCACAGATTGTAATGACTGTATTGCCATTGAGGATTTAAGAAGTATAAGGCAGATAGAAGCTTTGTTTAGAGCTCACACGGTAATGGCAGTCATTTCCGGACATAGTTCGCCTTTTCACGAGCAGCACTGTTTGCTGGCATATGCTTTTGTGATGCGCATTTGGCAGGTAAGAAAATAATAAAAAGTATGGTGTGTTGATATACTGTGTCAATATGCCAGCTTATCTATAAACTGTTGGCTGGCATTCCCCTCAATCACATAGATTGTATGAAAAGTAAGATTATTACAACAACTTTTTACTTTATTTTTCTATCCTTATTCTGTATAATTCTCAAAGTATGCTCATCCATATACAGTGGTACCTTGGTTCTCAAACACCTTGGTACTCAAACGCCTTGGTTCTCAGATGCCGAAAACCCAGAAGTAAGTTTTCGAACACTTTTCAGAAGCAGAATGTCCAACGCAGCTGTCAGCTATTGTTTCCAGGGCACCTGCACCAATCAGAAGCTGTGCCTTGGTTTTCAAACATTTCGGAAGTCAAAATGACTTCTTGAATGGATTAAGTTTGAGAACCAAGGTGCCACTGTATGTGTAAATCATGGTGCTTTGATGTTGTATTTTTCCTTCAAGAATGTAATGAAAAGTTTATTTGCAAAAAAGAAGTAAGATTATTACAATATAGGTTTTGATGAAAGTATATTGTATGTTTCCCACGCTCTCCTCTCTGCAGTATATTCCCCTCGTTCTCCATCCCTCATGGTTCAGGAGGTTGCTGCAGATATAGGGTGAGGGTTGGGTAAGACAAGAAACTCTTCTTTGAATTTCTGTAAGTCAACCAGTTTTAGGATCAAGGCTATTAACTCGCATCTGTGTAGGTTTGCTCTTTATAAAAGTAAAGGAGATCACTACCATCTGTAAACCTCTAAAACCTACCCAGTTGTCTTAATTCTTTCATTTTCTGCATTTGGCTGTAAATAACTCAGCCTTTTGTAGGTTTCCTTCCCCGACTAAAAACAAGTGCAATTGTTTTTGCTCAGGTATCACTGGCAGCAGCGGGAACCTTTTTAAAGACAATGGGCAAAGTTTCACCAACTCAGCAAACGAGTCCCAAATCGAAAGGCAAAAAAGATGCAAAACAAAACAAAGATGCAAAACAAGTAAGGCATTTTTCTATACAAAAAAAAAAAAATTACTTTCCCGCCCAAAGAAAATGGTTTACTTCTGAACAGTTATCCCTGTAATTAATTATTAAGTAAGAATTCTGTAAATCTCCTTTTCTTTAACTCCCGATGCATCCCAATCCAATGAAACAGATTGCATGCCCAGGCGTTGTGACCCGCCACCCCACCCCCTGTTAAATGACCACTCGTGACAACCTACGTTTTTGGTTTAAATTAGGCCATAACTTCATTGATTACAGATGTAAATGCATTGGCTCAATGAAAGGGATAACCTATATCAACCAACCCACCTGTTGGCTGAGTCTTCCCAGGAGTCAAACTGTTGGTGATGGGGTCCTATGACATACATTAAATAGCTACTGCCCCACTGATAATGCCTTTGAGGAGTGCTATGGTCCTAGCAGCCAACTGGGCATCTAGAAGGAGCACCTGCTCCAGGAACCCCTTAATGGAATACCTCATTCCCTTAGAAGGGCAGGCAGAGGCTTACAACCTCCCCTCTAAGACTTAACGCCACATCCACAATAGTTGTGGCAATTGCTACAGGGTAGGCGAAACCCCCAGGTCAGCCAGTTGACCTAAAGGACAAATTCCTCCCTGCTCCCAAATACGGTGACCAATCATAATCCATAGCTAGGTCATAAATACGCACTGCTCCATGATGGGTAGATAACAGCTTAATTATAGGGAGGGTGGGGGATCCAAAAGACAAAAATGCCAAGTTTTGGATTGGCTTTCCTTAAATACTCTGGGAGTAGACCTGAGTGAAGTCCTATGATGGACTCAGTCAGGCCCACCCCTAATGAGTGCCCACCCCTTGGTCTGGGTGCCCACCCCTCGGTCTGGCTGCTATTGGCCAATCTGCAGCTGAACCCAATTCAACTTTTCCCTGGCCTACTGAAGAGGATCTAACATCTCCCACTGCCCGGGGGACCCAGCTAAAAGTGGTTGGAGGTGCTGCGGGACATGACAATGCCATGCTACTAATGGCAGTTGACCTGTAGGATTCACAAGTGCCCATGTGAGCCCATGATCCAGATCTTTGTGAAATCCAGTGGGGTGAGACATAGCTTCAGATGCAGAACTGTATGTACGTATATAAGCTGTGTAAAACACTGGATATTGTATTAATACTATTATTCTATGGTGTAATAAAAATTTCCTTTCCCCCCTCTTTTTTCCAAAGCCTTCTGCTAATCAGACTTCACCAACAAGCCCTCCTAAAAAAGACAAATCTTCAAAAGACGCTAAACAGGTACATTTTCTTTTAATATATTTTAATGTTCAGTGGGGGGAGGGGGAATAGACTTCCTTAATGCAGAGTCTTGTTTTTCAGCCACAGTCGGCCAAAGACAAAGCAAAGAAGAAAGGGCCAAGTGAAGCCTTGCCCGCAAATGTGGAGGAGTGGGCTAGCTATGAATGTCCTGATGAAATTAGAGATGCCTTGAAACAGGACTCAAGTGGCTGTGCTATGAACAGGGAAACCATTTTGGCACCTGTGAGTAGCATTTCCAGATTTTGGTTTGTAGGGGCTACTGTCTTATCTTCTTAGATCTGTATGAATTTGAAAGACTTGTTGGAGTCGGAGGGAACAGATTTGCTATGGCAACTTATATTGGGTAGAGGTGAGTGACCTAACTGAACACCACAGTGGATTCAGTTGGAGACATAACATCTGCCAAATGTTCAGTGCTGCATGTGACCAGCTTCTATTTCAAAGAAGGCAAAACCAGTTTTTCCTGAGCTTGATTCTAGAGAGGGGTTGTTTGCGTGAGCAAACCACTTCCATGGGAACTGTATCGCTCAGTTCCACACGCCCATAAAAGAAGAGATAGTATTTTCTGTGTATCCTGAGTTTTACCTGTGTATAAATGTCCTACGTATTTGGCTTTGTGATAAAACCATTTTTAATGAGAATGTTGAAAGTTTCTTTTCATGCTGATTTTCAGGTTGCCACAGAGATGGCATATTTAGTGGTTCAAAAGGTAGGACAATGTGTCCGAAGTATACATTTGTGTGTAGCAACTCCCTGATGTATAAAATTCGAGAACATTGTTTCATTGTCCCATTTTCAGCGTTAAAAATGCAGAATTGAGACAGAAGTATTGACAACTTTTCCACCATCAATTCTTTTAATTTTCAGACACGTACCTTATACTACCTAGACCTTTTAGTTAAGGAGCTACAGGCAATTTTATGTACTCACTTGACTGTTCCGGTTCTTCATCTGGCTGAGATCATTTCTCGTGATGTCGTAGAAAGCAAAAGTCTGTCAGATCTCTACCATCTTCGGTTTGTATCCATTATTCTGCAGTCACTGTAAAACATTTCACTTCCCTGCCGTTCATAAATTCAAATCTGTTTTTGGTTGTGGTGTGTAAGTTAATCCCTTTCTGTACTTTATGATGTGCCACAAATTATGGGTTTATGGTTCCAGAAGTTATTCCCACAAAGTTCCCTGCATGAGCTGAATCTCAAGGAGGTTGAATCTCACCCATTACTAGCAGAGCACGGTCATGACTACAACTCCCATCAGTCTTAGCCAATATAGTCTGTTGTCAAGGTTGATAAGAGCTGTCGTCCGTATGACCACTGGTTTCCCATGCCTGGTTGATCAGCAGAACAAGTGTGCTGGACCAGGATAATGTGTGTTCATATTGATGTAGGTAATCATACGTGGTCTGAAACATAGGGAGAGGCAAGTGCCCCCTTGCACCTTCTAAATGGCACCCCTAGTAAGCCTAAAAATTGCTTGTATGCGTAATTGCTTGAGCATTAAAAATCTTAGACGTTAAACAAAACAAAAAAATATAGGCAGTTTGAACTTTCATTGGCTGTGCTTTGTCATGTTTGTGACTGAAAATGAAAGTTTTAGCATTTATATTTTTATGTAGCCTACATTTCAGTGTTTCAGATTCCAAGCTTTTTCTATCAAAAACATAAAAGTAGGAGGGTGTGGGTGGCTTTGTGTATATACGTATATATATATATATGCGTGCGCAAGTCTCCTTGAATTTGGGTTTTTTATCTGATAGCACTGTTAGGACTCAGCTATACAGTTGCAAATAAAATGTTTTAAGTGTGTTTTAAGCGCAATATATAATGTGACACTAGATGGTGATAGTGAACCTTATGTAAAATTCAGTGTAGTCAATGTATTTTTTAAAATGTTTTTTTTTAAAAAAAGCATTTTCAGAACTTTTTTATATGAGTGTAGATTCCCTGCCCCTCCCGTCTTGCTATTTCAGAAGAAGTGATATCTGAGACTGTTAATGGCAAGTATTTTCTCTTCATTAATACTCATAGCATGACTAGGAATCCTAGCCCTTCTTGCTCTTAGGCAAAGTGATCTTGTGGGGATTGATTTATAGGTGAGGAAGTGGGGAGTATTGCTTAACTCTCCACCCCCCACTTTACTGACTTTCACCACTTGATGTAGCAAAGGGATCTGGGAACTCCAGCATGGAGCAAAATACATCTCTTCCACCCATAATATCTCTCCTTTGAAGTCCAATCACTGCTGCCACTGTTTGTCTTGGAGACATGACAGCTGGGTTTTCCAGGCCTGCAGCGGCCTCTGAATATACAGTTTTTGCCTTTTTCTTTGAAACTATACTGCATTACTTGAACCAAAGTGTAATAGATTAAGTACAACAACACTGCTTCTGCAGAACATCTTTCCATACCAGAAAGTGCAAGTTTTAAAATGTCCCATTTTAAAGCTGTGTTTAATTGACAATGCAGACAGACAGACTGTTCTGTTTTGCGCTTTAAGTCCTCAAAATTCTACTGATGGAAATGGGATTTTAAATATACCTAGCAGCAAGCCACTCCTGATCCCTAATTGATCCCTAATAGGATCCCTAACATCCTATTGCTTCCCTTTGGCTTCATTGTGTTCTAGCTTTATGCAGGTCCCCTTCTTGCCACATATTTCCAGAATGCACAAAGCATGAAATCAGTTACATTTCCAAATGAACTAGGGCCAAGTCTTCATTGTACAAAAGTACCATTTCTTGTCAACAGGTAATTTGTATTTTGTATGGATTGTGTCCTTTGTTTTCACAGACTCTCCAGGATATGTTTAGATTTAAAGTTGTGCCAAGCAGCATTTAATCATGAGAAGGCAGTGGGTGAAATGTACATTAATGAAATGGAACAAGGAAGGTATGATCTTCTGAAGCAAAGTGTGTAATCTGAAAAGTTCATCATGGATTCTGTGCGTACCTAACACCCCATTTCCAGTTGAGCGACTGGGACTGTTTGCATGCAGCCTTTCAAAAAGTTTGAGATTCCACCAGTCAGCTATTTAATAGGGATGGGGAGTGGGGGGTCCATGGGTATTGCATCCAGCTCCCCAGTCACCCTCCTTAGTGGCTGACTTTAACCTTTTTGAGAGGGTTCTATAGGTGGGTCCATCGTTCCCTGGATTTGGATGTACAGTGGTGCCCCGCAAGACGAATGCCTCGCAAGACGAAAAACTCGCTAGACGAAAGGGTTTTCCATTTTTTGAGTCGTTCCGCAAGACCAATTTCCCTATGGGCTTGCTTCGCAAGACGAAATGTCTTGCGAGTTTGTTTCCTTTTTCTTAAAGCCGCTAAGCCGTTAATAACCGCTAAGCCGTTAATAGCCGCTAAGCCGCTAATAGCCGCTAAGCCGCTAATAGCCGTGCTTCGCAAGACGAAAAAACCGCAAGACGAAGAGACTCGTGGAACGGATTAATTTCGTCTTGCGAGGCACCACTGTATTACAGTGTAAGCATAACAGTTGTTTCCTCTAAGAGCAGCAGCTTTTTGCAGTGTGCTGGTATAACTGAATTTAAGTTACCAGTATTCTATGCCCATTAACAAAATGATTAATGTGGCCCCGTGGACATCTCAGTAACGACTTTCCATGTTGACATGTTGACCCTCATTGTTGTTTTGCTTGTTATTGTTTGCAAAATCGTTCTCCCTTCTCCTTTCTCTGATTCAGGTTTAGACAAGAGATAGCATTTAAAAAGGAGAATGCCATACAGAACAAGCTGAAGGAAACCAGATTTGCGAGTTTAAAGCCATCTGATATTAGTAAAAAATTGCTTACTGCAAAAGATAAGGTAATTTACTTTCATTTTGCAAATAGATCAAAGTGAGAAGGCATTTTGCTGCCTTTAAACTATTTATGGTTTTTAGAAACAAGGTCAATTGAGTGAATGCCATGCAGTAAACTATGGCTTCCATTGTTAGCAGTATATCCCTTAATTGCTGCTGGGCCCAGTGGGCGAAAACGGGCGGCTCTTGTAGAGATGGAAGTTTAAGGCTTTTCTGAGTTTTCCCTTTTATTATTGACACTTAAGAAAAAGTACATCTTCACGAAGGCATTTGCTAATGTAGCTGATTTGGTTAAAGGGGAGTAATTGGTGATGCACCACACATCTTTAACTAGAATCCTGTTGCTTTGTCCTCCACTGGACCCAAGATTCTATACCATTTTTATGCAGGAATTTTCCTTGATTCAGGTCTCTTGCTTAAGATCTGCCTCTCCAGCAGGTTGCTACAGGTGGTCTTCTCTCCATCAGTTATTTTTATTGAGTCAAAATGCCCAGTATCTTCACTATCCCCACCCGCCTCTGGGCCTATTGTCCTGTCTTGTGTTGGCTTCTTCCTCAGCTGTTCACTCACCTACCCCATACTGTACTTTGTTTCATTATTTTAGAACTGCATTTCCTATCACCATGCACCTCTTATTTCTGCCTCCTGTATTGAGATTTTTGATCTTATGCACAGGCTTATAGCGGCTAACAGATTTAGGTTGAATCCTGACAAGACAGAAGTACAGTTTGGGGAGGCGGGGGCCGGGGGTGGGGAACTCCCTGGTCCTGAATAGGGTAACTGTGCCCCTGAAGGACCAGGTGAGCAGCCTGAAAGTCATTTTGGACTCGCAGCTGTCCATGGAGGCGCAGGTCAATTCTGTGTCCAGGACAGCTGTCTACCAGTGCCATCTGATACACAGGCTGAGACCCTACCTGCCCACCGACTGTCTCGCCAGAGTGGTGCATGCTCTAGTTATCTCCCACTTGGACTACTGCAATACGCTCTACATGGGGCTACCTTTGAAGGTGACCTGGAAACTACAACTAATCCAGAATGTGGCAGCTAGACTGGTGGAACAGCCACCAAGACCACATAACACCGGTTGAAAGGCCTACATTGGCTCCCAGTATGTTTCCGAGCACAATTCAAAGTGTTGGTGCTGACCTTTAAAGCCCTAAATGGCCTCAGCCCAGTATACCTGAAGGAGCGTCTCCACCACCATCATTCAGCCCGGACACTGAGGTCCAGCGCTGAGGGCCTTCTGGTGGTTCCCTCACTTCAAGAAGTGAGGTTACAGGTAACCAGACAGAGGGCCTTCTCGGTGGTGGCACCCGCCCTGTGGAATGCCCTCCCATCAGATGTCAAGGAAATAAACAACTATCTGACTTTTAGAAGACATCTGAAGGCAACCCTGTTTAGGGAAGTTTTAAGTGTTTGATGTTTTATCGTGTTTTTAATAATCTGTTGGGAGCCACCCAGAGTGGCTGGGGAAACCCAACCAGAAGGGCAGGGTATAAATAAAATAATAATAATAATAATAATAATAATAATAATAATAATAATAATAATTCTCATCAGGCTTTACAACAGATTTCAGATTTTTTTAAAGGAATTGGAATGCTAAGCAAAATCCCTTTCACCAATTTTAGAATTAAATGCTGACTAAAATGGAATTGCAATTCTAGGATCACTCTTTCTTTCTTTTTAAAAACAGATTTTGGAACTGAACCCTGTGACTGAAAAGGGATTAAGTGGGCTTTCTTTCCCCTACTTGTGGATAGAGAAAGCTGAAGTCCTCATGCAATTAGGTTTATATCAGCCAGCAAGGCTACTACTTGCAGAAGCACACCATGCAACTCAGGTAAGTTTGAAAATTGATCCCAAACTGGAATGTGATCAAGTCCCCTATGCACTGGCATAGTCATAAGATTCCCTCAGTGCTCCCTCCCAGCTTTCAAGTTGTCTTCTTTTGAACTATTTATTCAAATTTAATCTTAGAGAAGTCCTAGGGCTTCCTCCCAGGTAGCGATGGAAGGTTCTTTCAATTTCTCATTTTTCAGTTCTCCATATTTTGCAGCAATTTACAAAAAAATTTAAAAGAAATTAGCATGAAAATTAAAGTCATTTTAGTCTGAGTTTCTCCTAATAAACTCCTGTAGAAGATTAGGAGATGCATTTTACACCTTCTCGATTTTGTTTCTTTTTAATTGTTCTAAATACGTGACACTGGGATGCCCTGGGCTCTTTGGTAAGACTGAACTTACAATTTCATTTACTTGAAATAACATTTTTTCTAGGAAATGAATGACCTCTGTACTGTATCGCGGTGCCTTTATCTTCTAGCTGTGCTAGCTAACTTGGAACAAAAACATGGACAAGCTAAAGAACTGCTTGAAAAGGCTCAATTGATAGGTGGGAATGAGAAATTTTGGCTGAATAGCACTTTGTGTCTCACAGATGCAATTTTAGGGGAAGATGAGGAAAGAAAAGATAAAATGGTAAGGAAACCTAGTTCAACCACAGGGATCTGTCCTACGTATTCTGCAATGAATGCAGATGCAAAGAATTCCTTCAGCTTCTCTGCTGTCTCTTCCCCCCACCCTTTAACACACTTTTGACTCCCTTGTCATCACCTCCCTAGCTGGTTTCCTTCTTCTAATGCATTTAAATATTTTTGGGTTAATTTTAATGTTTTTAGCAGTATGTTCATGAAATACATTTTTTCCCTCCTCCCTCATCCTCTTCTTCTTCTGCATCTTTTATTGTTAGCTTGCGTTTATTTTCTAAAGTTCTGGTTCCCTTTTGTTCTCCTTATTTGGGTAAAGTCTCCCATTTTCTAAAAGTTACCTTCTTGCCTCTGACAGCTTGCTTGACTCTGTTAACTACCCTGACTTTTTTTTTTTTGCCTTGGTAATACCTTTTCTGATTTGCAGTATATATTCTAGTTGAGCTTATACTAGTTTTTAATAACATTATCCCCTGGCCTTGGAGAGATTTGGCCTTCTTGACTTTCACTTTCGACTTCCTTTATAAGCAATGCCCTCCTTTTTTTAGAAGTCCCTGTGTTGAAGTCAAAAGTGACTGTATTGAGCTTCACATTGGCAATTTTCCACTGAGACATATATTCAGTGCTTTTTTTCCTATAAAAAAATGTTTAGGGGTACTCTCATTTTGACTCAAGAAAATCACCATTTTATAGTTCAAATCGGGGGAAATAAATACAGTAAATGGGCAAAAGTACAAAGATTCACGAAATGTTTAGGGGGTATGCGTACCCCTGCATCCCCCCAGAAAAAAGCACTGCATATATTGAACTTGATAGCACTATGAACACTGTTCCCAAACAGTGCAATGTAGAACCTTCTGGTTTTATAAAACCTTTTTTTCTTATGTAGAGATCACAGTATCCTCCTTTTGTAGCTATATTTAATTAACGTATACCTGGTGAGTCATATGCTTTTCAGTAAAACACAGCTTGTGTTTTCATTGAATGGATTTGCTCTGGATAGAATAAATACCTGGCCTAAAATGTTTTGAACAATTCTGCTTTCTCATAGCTACAGTCTGGCCATTTTCTGCAGAGAACTGTTAATGCATTAAGACCATTATTGCTGGGAAGACCCAACAGAGAAGCTGAGTTGGGTATTATAATCGCATTCCTTGAAGCCAGGTAATTAATTACAAGTTAAAACATTTATTATAATGTTTTATGTATGGTTTGTTAACTAACTAACAATGCAAACATATTCATGTTACCTCAGAAGTAAATCCCATTCAGTTCAATGAAACTTAGTCCTGGGTATATGATCCTATATACCCTTTCCAGAGAGTAATCCCCACTGAAATCTTCATGGGATTTACTTTTGCATAAATATGTTTAGGGTAATTTTTTTAACCCTCACTGTGCTTTTCTTAATGCAAACACAGCATAATCCAAGCATAAATATAAAATTATGGTTTTCTCTTAGCATTAGTCATCGAAATCTAAAAACATGCAAAGAAAAAAGTTTATTAGTACAGCATACCTGATCAAATATTTAATACATTATTGAGATAGTTTACCCAATACTATTAATATACTCTTCTATGCAGGAAAGCATATATTCATGTAGAGTTTGGTCAAGACTACATCAATGCTAGTAGTCATCCTAATGACTTAGCAAGATTGTTGCTGGAGCCATATGATAAATTAATTCACATCGAGAAGGACTTCCTTTCTTATCGGTATAAAGATCGTAGTACTGAGGTTTTGCTGGTACGTGCAAATATTCACAGGTAAGTCCATAATAGTCCTTGATTGTTTATTTGAATGTAAATAGCTAGAGACCCAAAGGACAATTTTAAGATAGTTCAAGAACTTACGGTCACAAAGTGGAATTTCCTCCCTCTCTGCAACAGGTATCCATGCCACTTCTTGAACCACTTGCAACTACCTTCAGCTTCAAAGTTCTTTTGTCTTGCAGTATAGGAAAGAAGCCGCTTGCTGTTAAGAACACACACAAATCTAAAGCACTTTTGGCACATGCTGAGCAGATCTTTGGAAACTGGCCCGTGCATATTTTTTAAAAAACCACACGCTAATCGCTTCAACTGCTGATTATTTCTGGCTTGCTTTTTCAACATTGAGTCTAAACAGTTACAAACAAAAATAGAACATTTTTATTGCATCTGAATCAAATTGCACAAGCAGTGGCTGAAACACAACAAAATGTGCGTGAAGCCGACCCACATTAGCCTGGTTCACATGCAGTGGGAAGCCAAATCATGGCTAAGCATGCTTATGCAAATGTGCAGGTCCTCACAGTGGAAATTGTGACCTCTTTCCTCCTCCTCCTCCTCATGCTGGCCACATGACCCGGAAGCTGTACGCCGGCTCCCTCGGCCAATAAAGCAAGATGAGCGCCTGCAACCCCAGAGTCGGCCACGACTGGACCTAATGGTCAGGGGTAACTTTACCTTTACCTTTCTCCTCCTCCAGTCCTGTTGCTGCACTGTCAATTATATGCAAGCTGGGTTCATGGTTTGTCTCGCTCCAGACAAACCACCAGCTGTAATCAAGCTTTGTTCTTGGTTTACTACTCATGGTTTGCTTGAGAGAAACAAACTACAGTTTTGCACCTAATGCTAAGGGAAGCCATAGCTTCGCTCAAGGTAGCTGCGCAGCAGCAGGTCCAATGGAGGAAGAATGTGGCTGTGCTCACATGGAGCCTTGTTGTGACTTAGCAGTTTGCCACCTAGGCCATGAGCAGAAACAATTCTTAAGCTTTGATAGGAAATATCTGCTGTATTCATATTATCTGCTGGATCACAAGCTGCACATAGTAGTTATAATATTTACCATTCCTTTTTGAATACAGTGGTACCTCTGGTTACAAACTTAATTCGTTCCGGAGGTCCGTTCTTAACCTGAAATCGTTCTTAACCTGAGGTACCAGTTTAGCTAATGGGGCTTCCCGCCGCCGCTGCACAATTTCTGTTCTCATCCTGGGGCAAAGTTCTTAACCCGAGGTACTACTTCCGGGTTAGTGGAGTCTGTAACCCAAAGTGTCTGTAACCCGAGGTGTTTGTAACACGAGGTACCACTGTAAATGGAAGTAAGTAATTGATGAAAGTAGTGATGTACAATATCCGGAAATGTGAAAGCACAGAAGTAACTTTTCCTTTGTGGACACTTTCAATCAACATCTTACATGTGTGTGAGTGCATGCATGCATGCACATACACACACACTTGGCATTTTTGAAAAATAAAATACTTGTATCATTTAATTGGTTGCCTTTAGTGAATGGCGGTTATCTCTTTGAACACAAAATTGGCACATGCTGCTAAAACTGCAGGAAAAAAACATTATCTGGTTATCTTTCTAAATAGATAAATTAGCAAGGACTAAATACCATTTTTGAGTAATTTTTAATGTTGCTTTTTTTTCCTTTGCTTTTTTACAGAATTCTCGGAAAACATGCCGTATACAAGGTAGACAAGCAGAGTCATTACCTTGATGCTTACAGGTTAGCTCAAGAAGCAGTATCACAAATGGAAGAGCTTTTTCGATATATTAATAATGTGATTCCAGTTAATGAGGTAGGTAAGGTAGTTGTGTCTTAAAATCAGCTTGTAGTCTTACACACATTTAATAAGGAGTAAGTCCCATTGAGCTCAGTGAAGTTCGTTTCTGAGGGGACATGTATAAGACTGCACTGCGGAGACTGCAAAATGTGGAGACTGTTTACAGTCAAATGAGACGGTTCAATGTCCCGTCCAAATCTGGTGAACATCTGAAAATACAGAAATAAACCAATGGAGGCAATTACTCATTGGTCATTATTTGCGTCCCTTATTGCAACTTCAAATTGGGGACATTTCGGGTCATATTCAACTACCGGTAAATTGTTGTGCTAGTGGAAGCCTGCTCAACGATTCCTGCTAACGCATCAGGACTTTGCTCCCTCTCCTGCCCCAGCATGCTGCCCCTGCCCTCCCCAAATCTACTCCAGAGAGTTGGGAGAATCCTAGAACAGCTACATTGAATACAAGCATTGGCAGGAAATTGGGACAGGTCTTTGTGGCTGTCAGCAGCCTTCACATTTGTAAATATTGCATGCAGTAATAAGTGTCACATTGAAAAGCCGCAAACGATCCTCCCTTCTATATTCTTTTTTCCCCTTCATGATTTTCTTTAACAGTTCTGTGTTTCCCACCCCAAGAGAGCAGTGGCCTTTTAATCTTCAGGGTGCAAGATTTTCACTTTTCTCACTCTATCTCTGATGTGTTTCATCTTGCCATCCACCACAGTCCTAGAATCTGGAATGTTCTTTTTAACTCAGTCTTATTTTTGTATTTCAGACTAAAAATATAAACACTCCCTTGATGAGAAAACTGGCTAGCATGAAGGTGACACTTACAGAGATCATTTTGGATATTTTTGTTCTCATCAATATTGAGAAAAAAAAGAAAGAGGCCAAAGCAGACGAGATTGAGCAGATTATCGAGGATTTTGTGAGGTTTACGCCTGATGTTGCTTCTGTTGAGCAGGTTTGTGTGTCATTGCTTTCCTGTGGTTTGGGCTATAATCGTATATGCACTTATTTGAGAATAAGACAATGATAGGTCTTACTTCAGCATAGGATTGTGCTGTGACTTCTATCAAAGCAAACTTTAAAGAATCATCAGTACAGTGGTACCTTGGTTCTCAAACTTAATCTGTTCTGGAAGTCAGTTCCAAAACCAAAGCGTTCCAAAACCAAGGTGTGCTTTCCCATAGAAAGTAATGCAAAACAAATTAATCCATTCCAGAGTTTTAAAAGCAACCCCTAAAACAACAATTTAACATGAATTTTACTATCTAACAATACCATGGATCCATAAAATGAAAGCAATAATCATTGTACTGTACTTTAAAATAAATAAGACAGTATTGTAGATGATAAAAATAAAAATAAATTTTAACCTGCGCTGATGATTGTCATTGTTTGGATGGAGGGGGTTAATCCATTTCCACAGTCACACAATCAATCAGTAGCTGAGCTAGGTTCCATACAGTCACAAAAACAAATTAACCGAAAACCGGAACACTTACTTCCAGGTTTTTGGCCTTTGAGAACCAAGGTATCACTGTACTCAGTTTCTGAAGCATTGGATCATTTTGTTGTTCATAATCTTACCAGTTTCCAGCATATTGGTTTTATTTCATGTTTTCTGAATTCTGACAGGCATGGTTAAAACTCAGCTGCACAATTGGCCATAATGCCCAGGCTCAGCTAACAAGCCTACAGAGTCTTTATAGTGGCTGTCCTGATATCAGAGCCAAGTACCTCTATCTCACTGGGAAGTGTCTGCGTTTAATGGCTGATCATACAAACCCCATCTTTACAGATGTTCATTGGAGTGAAAAGGCAGCGGTACGGCATATTTTTCCTACATTTAATCAAAGTGTTAATGGAAGTGGGGAAATGAACAACTTCAGAAATCTGTTTTCAGCTTATTCCACATTTTTATTTGGTGTTTTATTGTGTCCTGTGTGGATTGTGAGCGCGTGATTTTACAAATTGGAATAAGTTTTGGAATAAATGTGGGGTTTTTGTGGAGATGTGGGATATAGATATTGAAAATAAATAATCATTTTTGTGTGTGTGATAAAGAGGGCATGGGGGTGGAGGTGGCTGGGTGCCAACAAGAGAAACAACACCCTGCCCTGAAGTAAAAAGTAATACAGAGGCATGTTGGTGTCATAGTTCTCAAGTACTGTAATTAAGATCATGCTCAATTTGCACCTCACAGTTGCTTGAAACCTCATCTTTAAGGGAAATAGATTGCTTGTCCTCATTGTGTCCTCTGTATATTTTGGACTACAATTTCCATCAGCCAAAGCCAGGGTCAATGGTCAGGGATTGTGGGAGTTGGGGGTCCAACAACATCTGAGGGCATCAGGTTGGGGAATCATGTCCCAGAACAAAGTCCAAGAGATGCATTACCTGGCGAATGATTTGGGGTAAGATTAGAATTCTATGTTTTGGTAGTACATTGGTCAATCGTTGGAAGCTGAAGCAAATGTTTAAATCCTTTCCTGGTTATGCCATTCGTTAAAACTGAGCAGGAAACCAAAGATAGAAATTGGAAAAGTGACTACACTGGTCTAGTCTGCATAGACCTCGTTTAGTTACCAACTGAACTACAAATGGTTATTCTACTTGAAATAATGGTTATTGTCAGAGCTGCCTCCAGGTCCCAGCTCACAGAGGACCAACGCTAGCCGGTAGTAATGTACAAAAGTCTTTATTGAAGTACAGTTTCCATTTTCAAGCCGCAGCGCGCAGCTCTACGTCTTAGAAGCTAGACCGGCGAAGCTCCATCTGAGTCTCCACCCCCTGTACACCAGTTTAAGACTCTAACCTTACTCCACCTCTTCCGTCTCTCCTTTCTCCTCTGGGTCCTTCTGCCCCCCGGGGTCCCCTCCTTCCTGGACTCTTCTGACGCTGACCCCCCTGACTCCTCTCCCTCCTTTCGGCGGGCTTTAGGACCTGGCTCCCTATCCGGGCTGCCAACTGCGCCGCCCTCCTGTACATTTGAACTTGGCGCGCGCGCCCAGCCTCCAACCTTCCTCTTGACCGTTTCCTCGCTCTCCGATGGAGGCGTGGCCAATCCTGACTCATCTCCTCCCGCTGGCGGTGAGCCGCCTGATCCCGATACCTGGGACTCCTCCCCCCTACTGCGCTCTGGTGGGGAAGCTGGTCCTGATTTCCAACTGCTGCTCTCTGAGTCCCCTCTGGCCCCTTCTTCCTGGGGTGTCCCCCTAGGCACCCCCCTTGCTCTGACCATGGGAGCCCCTTTCTGTGAATCTTCCGATTCGCTGGAAAGACTCAGAGACCTCGGACCGCTGTCATCGCTAACATTTCCTTCGGATTCCTCCCCCTCGCTCTCTATTTCCTCCCTTTCCTGTGCCTCTGCTCCTGAGCCCCTGACAGTTATATATTTTTTAACCAGTTCAGCATAAAATAAGAGATATAGCAGATTTAAGAATAGGAAACCCTTAGCAAAATATTTACATATGAGCAGTCCTGGTTCTTGGCATGGCAGATGGTCTTTTGAATGCCATGTTGTTATGTTGACACACATTCAAATGCCAATTAAAGCAGGGGTAGTCAACCTTTTTATACCTACCACCCATTAATGCATCTTTCTCGATTGTAAAAATTTCCTTACCACCCACAGTACTCAATGGATGGAAGATTCAGCTTGTGCCGTGGAACCCCCTACCGCCCCCCTAGAATCCTGAAATGCCCACTAGTGGGCGGTAGGGACCAGGTTGACAACCTGTGAATTAAAGGGTCCATGTTGTTACTAGAGTGCCACGTCAGACAAAGGAGGAGCTTGCATGTGTGGTCAACATTGCATACTGTATTAGGACTGGGCTTTGCGTATGTGTTCACACATTTCATGCGTTACATTTTGACAATGCTTTGTTTGTTTAATTCTTTTGTGACGGACAGGAGGAACCTAAACCTGTCCTTGAGAAATCCCCCTCACCAGAATCAGAAGCAAAATGTGATGAAAGTGAAACACCAACTCCGGGTTTGCAACTTACCAAAAAACAGCTTGATGATTACAGGAGGAAAGCAAGTGAATTAAGGGTACATTTATGTGATAACCTAAGTACTTTATACACACACACACACACACACCACACACATATAATAAATTCTAAGTTTAGGACATGCCAGGTCACTACTATAAAGACAGACAGTGAGGGAAAAGTTTTTAGGACATTTCCACTTCACTGTAGAATATTTTTATAAGATAACACTTAAAGTAGAATTTTAGTTAAGAAACTAAAGAGTAAAGAATTTGAACAAGCTGTGGAGGAAAAAGCTAAAAATTTATTTGCTGCTAATTTTCCATTTTTTGTATTTGATTTATTTGATTTCTTAGTATGTTGGTTTCTAAAACTGTTCTAAAATGAGATGAAAATAAGAACTGGACCCTTTCCTCTCTCTTTTTGGAAGGTAATTTTTAAAAAGGAATATAAGCTCATATTGATCTTGCAGTTCTCATATTAATCAATTTTAATTACTTTTCATCGCCTTTTCATCACTTTCCTCATTTATAAAATGTTTTGTTGCTGTATTTTTGTTCCATGGATGAATAGTCAGAAAAAGGAAGCCCAACAGGAACATGCATTTATTTTGAGCTAAATGGAAAACAAAATCTAATAGAGCCCTGATAGGATGCTCTGAGGGACAAAATAGCATAACTGGGAGCCCAGTTTGAAACTCTCAATTTATGCCCATTTGTCTTCTCTAGAAACATTTAATCTTTTCCATTAAAAACTGTTATATGAGATCAGAATGTTCTATCTTCTTTGAAGTGATAAACTACTATTTATGTTGGATTTATGTAGTTTTAGCAATATTGAAAACATAAGATTCTGATCTTTGCTATATAGAGGAAACAGACTTGGACCCAAAGATACCTGTTTCAGTCAACGGAGGTTTTGCTGCAGAGCATTAATGTTGCAATGAATAATAACATGATTGATATCCTGGCTGCTGCTAGCTTGGAAATGGTGGAGTGCTTTGGACGATTTGATTCCGTTTCAGCAAGCCAGTTTTTGGCCCTTTATCAGGTGAGACAACAGCTACTTCAATTAGCCCTTTAGTACCATAATCAGCCAAGTCAATCTTAAAAGTATTAAGAACATGTGAATTCAGACGGTGATGTTACTAAATAAAATTATTTATTTTACGTGGTGGTTTCTATTCCCGTGTGATGTAATTATTACTTTAAATATGTAGCAAACATAAATTAAGTCTTGTGCAATCGACTATCAGTCGTTCAATGTTTTGGAACATGTATTTTTGGGGGCTGTGCACCAGATCCGACCAAATGCTAGATCCCAAAATCAGGCTGACTCAAGTCAACCCAGGATTCAACCAAATTGGGGTGTGGCATCTTTGGATCACCCTGAAGTTGGGTTGGATCCATCTGGAGCGATCCAGGGCTGTCAAAAGGGAAGGGCAGCTTGGTGACGAGGAGGAGGAGGGAAAAGGAGACATTCAGATAGCCCCCAACCACATAATTAATTAGTGGAAAAGTTCCTTCTGTTTCCCTAAAACTTTTGCTGAAGCCCTTTCCCATCAAAAATGACTAGCTGAAAACTCCAGTTTATGGCATTTACATAATTTAAACAACTTTTTGAAAATGCTTTGTGTGTTTTGTCTCTCTTGTCGTCTCCTTAATCTGCCACCTTATCAGGTACTTGACTCCTCCTTTAATTCTCCCCTTAACTTCTGCCCACCCTGCCCCTCTTTGTAAGATCAAAGCAGATCAGTCAATGGTAGCCAAACACCCATTTTTAATTTGTCCATCCTCACCCTTCAACCCTAGTGATGTTAATTTAGCTCAGCCAATCACTTGCAGAAGCTTTATCACCACCAGTACTATCCCTTCCTTACACCAATAGCTCCTTAGTCAACTATATAAATATCATTTAACCAGGTGTGAGGGTGGGGAAGCGTTTCAGTGAAGCACATTTATGGAGAGATCATTCCACAGAAAGAAGCTGAATAGCTGAGAAAACCCATTCTTAGTATTTTGATGTCAGGGCTTCTTTACTGTGAACGTAAATAATCACCATATCGGGGCCACTTTGTTTCATGCTTTCTTGAAAGGATTTTCATTAGAAATCTGTTTTAAAACATTTGCCAAACTAGACTTGTATTAAAATGTTGCAGAGCTGTTCAGCATCACTGATGATGAAAAACATCCTGCTAGCAGCTACACTGAACACCAGCAAATCACAGCTGGCAGCAATGCTGCATCTGCAGCACCACTTGCAACAAAAAGGAGATGTTACATGCAGTCTTCTAAAAAATGTGGAGCACAGGCTGGCTGCAATCTCAAAGGTAACTTGGTCAGTTAAAATAAAATTGCAATTTCTCATCCAGCTAGGGATCTATAGGACCCGAGAATGATCCCTAGCTGTAGTGGAACACCTGTTTGGAGCATATATAATCATTTATTCTCTTGCCCTACAAATTGTGTGTGTGTGCTATATATATTGGAATATAAAGCAGGTAAGAGCATTAAAAGTTGGAGGGAAGAATTAAAAAGCAGTGATAGATTGTCTGAGCAAAATTAGTTAAAATTTTTGCAACTCGCTCTGTTTTTTGTAATGTACATTTTCTAATGTACTGTAGTTCACAGCGCTGCAGACTACTGTGTTATGACAAACTGGGCTCTCAGAGCTACTGCCCTCCTGCAGCACCATCAGATGGTTAGGAGCAGGAAGGAACTGAATCACTGACGTATATTTTACAAAAATATGGCTAATAAGAATTCTACAACCCAGCCATGCTACTACTTTGACACTTTGTCATGAAAAGATTAAAGCTACGCTTTAAACGGTCTGAAAATTTATTCACTGTTACCTTTTTTTGAATAGGCATGGGGAAATCTTTGCATTTCTCCACAACACTTTAACATCATGAATGAATTACCACCAAATTTTCATGTAATGATTCTCCAGCATTCAGAAGACAGGTATGAATATAGGTTCTCATGTTGGCACTCTTTTGCAATACAGTTGCAGTCAGTGGAGTGATGGTGCTTACCTGGCCTCCAGTCACCACCAAGAGGGGGAGGGGTGATGCCAGCATGGTGTAAATGTACTAGCAGGAGTGCCAGATTGGCTCTGCTGTTGCATTAACACTATGCTGGCACTGCCGCCACCTCACTCCTCTTTCTTCTCGCACACCGGAACAATAGCAGAGGTGATAATTTCAGGAAAGCAGTGCCCCACCAGCCGTTGCTGTTAGAGTATCTGTTCCATATGCCATTGCTTTGGTGCAGGCATAAAATGTAACCATGACAGGTTAGTGCAAGTCATAGTTTGTTACTTCATCCTGTTTACGATCTCAGATATCTAATTTGGTTTAACTGGTCAAGCCCTGTTCTCTGAGGCTGTTGGTAGAAAGATACCAGTAAAGGCTGTTTGTCATCTAGCAAACAGGCGAAGCATGGTTAGCATAAATCAGCTTTTCTCAGCCTGGTACTATCCAGATGCTTGGGATTACAATTTCTATCATCTCTGACTGGAGCTCCTGAAAGTTGTTCAGCAAAACATCAGGGTGGCACCAGGTGGGAGAAGTCTGAGGTAAACCATGGCTTCATGTTCTGGTTTGTAGCCAATCCTTCACCATAGCAGTGTTACCCAAATCTTACTCATATTTAAAGGAAAAGATACCATGGTTACGTATTTCATTTTTATAGGGCCATGCTCTTCAGCTGCTGATTCAGTAAAACATAGTGATTATAGTGTAAGCAAAGAGAAATAGCTGTGCCTGGCCTTTGTTAGAATCAAACCCACCACTGAACATCTGTCTGTTGCGTCCCAAACTGCTTCTTGGCTTCGTCTGTGCACTCATACCATTTCAATGTTGCTTTGCCACTCCTGTGACGTCTTTTCCTTCAGCAACTTCCAGCAGCTGCTGTGTACCAGCAGTTTTAACTACATATGGTATATATGGTTGTCTCCTGCACTTCAGGTCCTTTCCCACTTTGAAAAGATGGGTTTGAAGAAAGGTGCATTTGTTTTCACATGTTTTGAAGATAAGGTGCTCCCTGTTGGATGACTACAGTTAACAGTGATAGTATTTGAGGATACTATTTGTCCTCTGGCTTTCCACCATTACATTTTCTTTCTTTCTTTGCATTCTTTCCATTTTTATTTCAAAGCTGGGAAGTGTGTAACAGTATTTCCGATCTATTATATTTCGCTATGAATGTGAAGAAAGAGGTTTTTAAAAACATGACAGAAACCACCCACCACCCATTCCACTTGAGCACCTTCTCCCAGTTTTAGTTGTTTTTGCTACTCTGGATTCCTTGCCTTTCTCGAAGGAATTCTCCTTCCTTCCCCAATAAATGCAGGGAAAGTAGAGTTAAGGCTCTCAAAAATGTAGCACAGACTTTTTCAAACTACACACAGGTCCCACTATCAGAACACTATCTGTGATTTCAGACACCCAAACATAAAAATTATGACCAAACGTTGCTACATACATGGCTGATTCAGAGTTTGCCCACTTCCTTCCTTGCTTGTGCAATATGGTGGCAGCCATTTTGCGGAAGGAGCCATGGATAGAGGAATTGGGCAGTGGGGTCAGACAAATCAGGGAGCAGGAGGGAGCAGACAAATCAGTTTATCCCTTTGTCTCTTCTTTCCTGTTTGGCTGCAGCCATTTTAGGAGGAAACCATGGCGGGAGGGGAGAGAGAAATCACAGATTAGAAATGTTCCCATAGGAAATAATAGGGAATCATCAGCTCATCCTGTAAACACTCGCCTAACAAACGATTTGTGGGAATGCATTGTTTTCGGAAAACGGGACATGCACATACATATAACCTACTATCATTTGGAGTATTGAGGTAGTTAGGTACTTGCATCACATTCAGTTATAAATTTTATGTTGGATAAGAAGGGAATAAGGCATTATCTGAGGGGAAACGGTCTTTTGAAAAATTTGATTTGATTATTTTCTTCACTAGATCTTTCTTGTATGGCGCACTACTTGAGAAAGTGAAATTGGCCAATCCAAAGGAACAAAAGGACCACAAGGAAAAGGGTGGACAGCAGAAGGAAAAGAGTGGGCAGCAAAAGGAAAAGAGCGGGCAGCAGAAGGAGAAGAGTGGGCAACAAAAGGGAAAAAACTAACCAGCCAACTTGTAAGCGTTCGTAAGAAGTGCAGATTCAATTATGGTTCTCTTTTGTTAGGCTGGACTGAAACTTCACACGTGAATATTTGGGGCAAAAATGTCCTATTTTTGAGGGAACCAAATTATGCCCTTGAAAGCCCTCTTCCACTCAACTTTATTTGCTTTGTGGTTGGCAGCAGCTCCAGCTCCACTTTTTAAAGTGCACCTTCTAGCTGGGGACAGTATTCTCAGCTAGCTGGAGGATCACGTCATGAGCATGATGAAGTCCCAATGCCACCTGCCCATTCAGAATGAGGACACTTGCTCTCCCCTCAGTTTCTTGCTGAAACATAGAAATATTTTGCATGGCCACCAAAAAACCTTTAGCCCTAGGTAGTCTTGTGTAGAAATACAACTCATCCTGTGGAATTAAACCATTTGAATTCCTGGTACAAGTGTTAAATTGGTGCCCACAGTGAAGGATTAGGATTGAGTCATCCCAACTCCATGACTCATGTATCCCCAAGTTATCTTGGTTCACAAAGGTTATAACATCACCTAATTTATTTAACACTACTACCACTGCTGCAGTAATTCACGCTCTCTTATGCCTGGATCCTTTCTGTATGCCTGGATATGGAAAATGAAGATGCATTGCATGTTTTAAAAAATTACAATGCATTGCAAGTGTCAAAATGCTTTAAATAGGTTTGTATTTTAATTTACATCAGTGCAGGCTAAAATTGTGCGATCCCAGGTGAATTCTAATACTTTGATGAATTTGCTGGAGAAGGTAAAGGTTTTGAAAGATCAAAGGATGAGGAGTCTTCGGAGACAACCATCACCAGAAAGAAGCCATGAAGACAAAAATGAGTTTCAAAAACTTCAAGAATCAGTCATCAAAGTAGAAACAGGAAGAAAAAGTACTGTAAGAACTGCACTTACTCATATTGGTGTTTTCACACCTGATGTACTGAGATAGTAATGTTTAATAGCTACTTTTTCCTCTTGTGAATGTAGCGTAAGTGGTTGTCCATAATAATTTCATTAGTGTCAGCTAGTACCCAGACAGATGAGTGGGGTATAAATAATATAATTATTATTTTTATTATCCCTAGGGCATTGGTCTTCAACTGGGGAGTCTGTTGTGGAGGTGGGGAGTGATTAACAAAATCAGTCTGGGAATAGCCCCTCAGTCACACAGTTTAGGACATTCCACACCTCTCCTCAGCAGAGTTTCTTTTTCTTTGAGAAAATAAAGGGGCTCACTTAAATATAAACTAAACTTTAATAATAAATAATAATAATAATATAATATATTTTATTATAATGAATATAATAAAGAAATAATAAGCAAAGTAACGATAATGAGAGAAACTAAATACAACAACATGAGGCAAGTCTGAGGCAAGAAAAAAAGAAAAGACAGTTGGTCCCTCTTATTTGAAACTTAACGGAACATAATGAAGGGAGGGGCTGATTCCGGAGCATGACACCCAAGCCCCGCCCACCAGATACCAAACATTCCACTGATCAAATTAGGCTCCAGAGTTCTTCTTACAGAATCAGAACTAGGGGTGTCATCTGATTCTTTAGACTGGTTCGGATCCCAGTTTGATGCACTCATCACCTGCACCATTTTGCTTCAGTTCCTACTTTGCTATTTTTAACTACCGTATTTTTCACCCTATACAACGCACTGGCCCATAGGATGCACCTCATTTTGGGGGGAGGGAAATGAATAAAAAAAATATTCCCCCACCCAGCCACAGAACAGGCTGCTGCCCGCAAGCCTTGCAAGCCCGCGGGAACTCCTGCGGGGCGCGCAAGGCTTGCTGACACCTGAGCGAAGCACGGGGCGCCCTCCAGAGGGCGCCCCGTGCTTCGGGCTGCTTCCCGCAAGCCTTGTGAGCCCACGGGAACTCCTGCCTGGCGCGCAAGGCTTGCGGACACCTGCCCGAAGCACGGGGCATCCTCCGGAGGGTGCCCCGTGCTTCGGGCTGCAGGCTGCCGCCCCAAGCCTTGCGCGCCTGGTGGGACCTCCCCCCGGGCGCGCAAGGCTTGCGGACATCTGCCCGAAGCACAGGGCATGCTCCGCAGCGCGCCCCGTGCTTCTGGCTGCAGGCTGCCGCCCCAAGCCTTGCGCGCCCGGCGGGACCTCCCGCCCGACGCGCAAGGCTTGCGGACATCTACCCGAAGCACGGGGCGTGCTCCGCAGCGTGCTTCAGGCTGTAGGCTGCTGCCCCAAGCCTTGCGCGCCCGGCGGGACCTCCCCCCGGCCTCGCAAGGCTTGCGGATAGCTTCCTGAAGCCTGGAGAGCGAGAGGGGTCGGTGCACACTGATGCCTCTCGCTCTCCAGGCTTCAGCGAAAGCCTGCATTTGCCCCATAGGACGCACACACATTTCCCCTTCATTTTTGGAGGGGGAAAGGTGCGTCCTATAGGGCGAAAAATACGGTACTCCGAATCTGGCCTTTTAGCTTTTAGAAAATAATGTTGTTATTAATGACGTTGTAATGAATATTATTATAATGTTATTACAAAAATACATACATGGGACTCAATGAGACAGAAGTAAAAGTAAATACAAACTGGTTGAAAGGACATCAGCAGAAATCCGCTGCAAGCAAGACTTCATGAAGAGAGCAGCCAAGCAGACTACAGACCAGTCCAATGCCTGGTCTGCCTGTAGCGAATTCCACCACCATCTTTAGTCAGGACCCACCATTGGGTGACAGCCGGATCTAAATTCAGTCATAACGGCAGCACTGCCTAAATCCTAATATAAGACAAACAATTAAAAATTGAGTATCCAAAAGTATGTTTTGGCTAAAGATAGGTCCCTGGTCCCAAAAGGTTGATGACTACTATTCTAGTCGATGATTTTATAAATATTACAGCTATTGCACCAGTGTTTTTGTTAGAGAACACATTATCAAATAAAATAACACATACATAAAATAAGGTGTAACGTTGTTTAAAGGTGATTGTTCAGTTTAGACCTGGTATAGTTTAAACGTTACTAAATTTTCATGACTGTTCTATTTCTATTTGGCTATTCAATTTTCCTTTCTGTCTTTGATATTCTTATGCCTTCTAACTATTTTTTAAAATCGATCAATCAATCACTGTTTTACTTTATATCATAGGAAACAGAAAATGAAGATGAAGAACATTTTATATCAGAATTCCAGGCTATTATGAAAGAAGTAGAAGAATATCTGAAACCTGTATTGTCACAATTTGATTTCTCTGAGCTGAGGTATTTTTTTCAAAAGTTTTCTCTAAAGTATTTGTTACATATCTTTAGGCACCAGGCAAAAACATTCCTCTTCTCCCTTTGGCTAATTAAACAATCTCTGGCCTTTTAAACAGTGGGGTGGGGTGTTATTATTTTGTTTGTTATTATGGTATGTATTTTAGTATTTTTATACTATAAACCATTTTATACTATAAACCTATACTATACTATAAACCATTTTATTTAGAGGCCATTTTTAGTACCCCATTTTATAGACCATTACAAGAAAAACCTGTCAAACCTAATAAAATAAATTTCTTATAGAAGTGCAGGAGCAAATCTGTACCGTAGGAGCCTTCTGTTTCCTCTGAAAAGACACATGTCAGACAATCTTTGGAACCTAATTTTTTCAGGCATTGGCAGTGTCACAGTTAGGTATCTTCGTCCAGTAGCCAACACTGCCAGTGATGCGCTTGGTTCATCTTGGTCCCTGTAGCACCTGCTGCCTGGAGGTAGAAGCATCATCTGTAATTTTATACCAATCTATTCAGGTCTTTGGAACCATCAGAACTATGCAAGTCTATGTTAACCTTAAGTAAAACTATGAGAATGTGTGTTTCTCTTGTATGATAAAGCCAGGTGAGTTCTGCTTTTCCTGTTGCAGGTAATATGAAACTGCAAGTATTTGATTCCTGTTACTGTTCTTTAAAAAATTATATGCTGTACAATATTTTTAAGACCTGGTCTTTGTCTCCTCAGGCCAAGTCCAGCAGTCTCTCCAGCTGATTCAGGAAAAGGTAAAGGTGACTCAGGTAAAACTAAGGCAGGTGACTCAGGAAAAGGCAGAAAAGGTAGTCCAGGAAAAACTAAAGCAGATGGCTCAGGAAAAGGCAAAGCAAGTGAGGCAGGGAAAGCAAAAACTAAAAATAAGGAGAAAGCCACTACAGCTCCAGGTATGTCTTAAGTTCTAAAGCATATATATAGCGTCAGATGATCCAATAACATTATCTTCTTGATAAATAGTTTGCGACAAAATTTCAAAGTATAAAGTATTGTATTCTCAGGTTTGCATAAGTTATCTGTGATCTCTGTAATTATGCATTTTCAAAGGCAGATTGTTTTGTTTATATTTAACCATGATGACAAACCATTGCATGCTTGTGAATCCTCTTCCCATTTCCCAATAGTCCATGCATGTTGGGAGGACAATAGAAATTTCCTTTCCTGGTTTATGCCAACCATAGGTTGCTCACAAACCAGAAGCCAGAAGCCCCAATAATGGTTTCATCCTATGGTTTGAGCAAATTACAGATTTCTAGGTATGGATGAGGCAATGAACTATGGTTTGCCTCAATCTAGGAGCAGACACTTCTAATCTCCTCCCTTTGCATGTGCAAGAAGCAAGAGAGAAAGTGTGAAAACCCAAGACTCAGTTTATTGTGCTTTAATGTAGCCATTATATTTGGGTGTAGAAAGAAATGTTGACTTCTGATTAATTCATGGCACTGGCTACCTCTGAACCAAGAAGTCCTATATTCTGCATGGTTTTCCCAGGGGCTTCCCAAATGTGTGTGTGTGTGTGTTTAAAGACTTCATTTATCTCTTCATCTTAACTGGGGATGAAAACAGCGTCAGTTTATCTGAGCAGAAGCGAAAAATGCTTCCCATTTAAGAACAGTTGTTATTCTTTTATTGAGAATTATTTTTCTTCCCCATTTTTCCCACATTCAGCTGGCATTGAAGATATAGGAGAATGCATAATACTACTTTTGGACAAATGTCTTTTGGAATTTCCTTTGGAGGGTCTGAATATCTTTCAAGAAAAGACAATAAGTTCTGTGTCCAGAGACTTTTCTCTCCAAATGTTCTACAACCGCTTACATAAAGACGAATCAGGTACAGACAAGTTTATATATATTTGAAAATATAATGTTAGATAGATAGATATAGACTTTGAATCCCTTTTTGATGTTAGTTGGTATCACGATAATATATTTTACATTTCTGCTTAGGGAGCAGCCTTGTACCTCACCATTAACTGTCTCAGCGTCCCTTCCAGTTCTACAATTCTACAATTTTATGATTCTATTATTCTTATGTAGAGACTCCTGTGAAAAAGTATTGTGGTGTTTGAACCTGTGTATACAATCAATGTTAGAATGCAAATGTTGGTTATCAGAAGAATTACTTGTAATAAGCCTTCAGACGATCTCTGTAATTCACATATATTGATGACCATGAGAAGTATGTCAATATCTGGAAAACATGGCAGGGATTAGGGAGAGGGTGTCATATCTTATTTTAAGGATGATTGTGCTTTTAACATTTTCAGAAAATGAGTTCAAAAAGGATGGGAAAAAAGAATCAAGACCAAAAGGTGAACACAGAAAGAGTATGAAAGTAGTAAGTATATATTTTTGACGATATCTGATGCATTTCTAAGCTGTATCATAATGCCCTGTTCAAGATACAAAAACTCTGCAACTTTCTAATAGTTTAATTTTAATTTTAATATGCATATTAGTGAAGCAGTTGTATTATGCATTGTGTTTGCATGTATCCTTGTTTCGTCTTGTTATACCTTTTGTTACAAAACAAGACCTATCAGTCCAGTAGGTTCTAGAACATGTAATGGAGGAAACACAATCTAGTCCTTCAGCTCAGGCATCCAGATGGTTGGCCAGCTCTGGTTGGACTCCAGCTCCCATCACCCTTAGTCAGGGATGATAGGACTTGTTGTCCCACATCTGTTGTCCCACAGATTGTCCACCCCTGCTTTAGACAGCAAGGTCTGAGATATGGAGGCTGTTTCTGTTCTTCCTCCTTCACCTCCCCTATGCGTTCCTATTATGTCCAAGTCTTAATCTTAGGAAAGGGGCTACAATAGGAGAAAACAATCAATAAAGTCCTAACAAAGATGGGGGGAGGAATATAATTAATTTTTACCTTGGGCAGCCGTGAGCAATCCCTGTGCTTGAGAAGTAGTGTTGATCAGGAAATTTATTCATATTACTTCCCCACAATCACAACTGTGGCATGCACACTCTGACATGATTTTTGTAGCAACTGGGATCTTCCACAAAAGTTATACGCAGTAGCATTTTCCATGTTATTATGACAAAAACAGTGTTATGCGGTATTGATGGATGCTACTTAGGATTCCAGTCCTGAGCAAGCTTGCCAGAGGGTGAGTCCCAATGGAGCTTATTAGGCTTTCATTCTGAGAAAAGAAATTAAGAATTGTGCTGTGGGTGTTCTTTCATATTAAAGCTATGACTGTTTCTTATTCAACAGCCTAACCTTAACCGTGTTCTGCCACCCAACTGCCTTCCAATTGATATACATAATGTTAAATGTATCCTTTCAGAAGCTATTGATTAGCAAATGGAATACTTAAATCATGAGTTTTACATCTGAGCTGCCCGTTCCCTTGAGCTCAGCAATCGAGCCACATCACTGCTACTGTCTATGTCAGTTACTGAATCGTCTTCAGAGCTAGGAAAGCTTGTAGGGCAATCGGACTGACTTCCCTATGCCAGCTACTACTACTACTGTTGTTGCTACTAAATTCTGCAGTATTGCAAGTGTCAAAGTGTATAGAAAGTGTCTAGCTTTCAGTTTGCTAACCTTTACAGTCGAGAGGAAATGGTGTGGAATTGGTGTGAGAGAGACCTTTGGACAGTAGAAAAGAATACTTGCTTTCTAGACAATACTTAAGCTGCAAAGATGGAAGGGAAGCTGTATCATCGTGTGAGAGGACTAAGGAGGTCAAGCAATGGCCTTGGGAAAGAGAGCTTGGATGCTACTGACTTAGGAAGGGTAAAGAGTTTGCTTAGGCACAAAAGTGGGGGCCTCGTAAGCAGAAGGAGGGAACTGCTGGTGGTGATTTCTTCAGGGAAGATATCGAAAGGTGATACATTAGGATTGGATGCTGAGGGTGCCACTGGCTTTGTTTCTGGTTCCTGCACCCAATCGAAACTGGAGGCGGGGGGAGGATTTGTATGTAGTTAATTATATTTAAAATTGACACCCCTCATTTGCATGTCCTTAATGGTATGTCTCAGATGTTGTGGATCCATATAATGATGTAACAGAAAGAGGTAAAGTTTGTATATTATAACTTGTTTGCCATTACAATAGCTGTAGTAGAAAGCTACCTAGAACTCTATTTTCTTTTTTTTAACACCACTGAAAACATTTTCTAACACTGCGCACCTAATATGTAGAAGTGGCTACAGTTTATGGCTGAAAGAGAATGACCTGGTTTTATTTTATATATGAAAGAAAGTCATTTTTTAAAGGTCCTCTTTTTGCATGCAGAAAGCTCCATATGATAACTGTTATATCTGAAAAAGTTGGTGTTGTAGTCTTGCGTTGAACAAATCATCCTGCTGCCATAGGCAAGCAAGCAGGCTGGCAGAGGAGCGACAGATCACTCTGAGCCTACTCCTTCAGCCTGCTTGGTTAGTGTGCTAGTTGTGGAAAGAGAAAAATCCTTCCTCTGCAACCAACATGGAAACAAAGCAGCTAGCGGAGAAGAATCTAGACCCTCCTCTAATAGTCCACTGGGTAGAAGGCACCTAAAAGAAAAACTAACAAACAAACCCTACTCTCCTAAGTTGCTAGAAGCCTGCATTTCCAGTCCTCCAGTCTTCTGTGGTCAGCATGAAAACCCAGACCACTGCCCTGTTAGCAGGCTAGTAACTTTTTTTTTTTGGTAGGCTACTAACCTTTGTAGGCTTATTTACGAAGCTACTGTAATACTCTTTTTAAAAGCTACAGCTGCTTAAAATTATACAGAGTGGGTGGGTAGGTGTGTAAGCACTGGAAAACCCTATGTTCCTAATGATAAAAAATTGTATGCTCAGAATCAGATAATCCTGCACAAAAATTTAAGACACTTCTAGAGAAATTTGAGCCGTTTACACTCCGTTGGGATGGAATTATGGGTAACACGCAATTTGCAAGGTATGTAAGTTTGTTTCTCATTAATTTTGCACATTTTTTTTTAGTACCTATACAAATGCCCAGTGGCGTAGCGTGGGGGGTGCAGGGGGGGCCAGCCGCACCGGGCGCAACATCTGGGGTTAGGGCAAATCCACGGGTTAGGGGGCGCAAATCCACGGGTTAGGGGGCGCAAATTACTTGCCTTGCCCCGGGTGCTGACAACCCACGCTACGCCACTGCAAATGCCTAATATGTTTGTTCATCTGCTGCTAGTAAAGAAGTCAAAACAAGGCTGTTGTGGGGAGGGAATCCAGCCAAAATTTAGTGACTTTCAGGTCCCACTGATTGCAGTGTGTGGTTTAAGAAATTTTCCCATTGAAAAGAATGGGGCTTAAACTTGCTCGACCTTTGTGGTTTCTTAGTTTAGAAAAATGCTGAGTAAGGAATGACCTGGGATAGGTGGTATGGAGACAGTGGATACAGAGACCTTTTTTCTTCCTTTTTCATTACACCAGAACTCAGGAACATCCAATGAAGCTAAACGCTGGAAGCTTCAGGACAGACAAAAGAAAGCATTCTTCACACAGCACATAGCTTAACTATGGAATTGACTCCCACAAGAGGCACTGGTGGCCACAAACTTGGATGACTTTAAAAGATTAGTCAAACTCAGCCCATAGCTGCTAACCCTGATGGCTGTGTTTTAGCTCCACAGGCAGAAGCAGTCAGCAGTCAGTTGCTGCAAACTGCAGGAGGGGAGAGAGCTTTCTTGCATTCCTCTTTCCATAAGCATCTGGTTGGCTGGTGTGAGAATGGGATGCTGGATGTGGCGCCATTGGCTTGATCCAGCAGGCTCATCTTACCTTCTTAAGCCCGAGCGTGTCAGTCCTTTGCAATAAAAATAACCAAAGGAAGAAAAGTAACAGGGAACAGTGGGCAGCTCCTTTCAGAATTTAGAAAGCACGTGCACAGGCATGCCCTTATACACTTAATACAGATACTCTTCCTATCCGTAAAAATAGAATTCTAAATTATTTTCCTCTTCATGCACAGTTTGTATAGTAGCAGGGGGTAAGGTGGAGTGGGGTGGCAGCATTCACCTGACCGCCAGACAGCATCTTGCTGCTGCTTACTGGGAGATGGGGGACAGCCAGGTCAGTGCAGTGCAAGTGCCTCTCTGATGCTCCCAGTGGTGCATTTGCTCTGTGCTAACCTTGCCACTGCTTCCCCACTACTCCTCTCTGCCTCCTGATAAACAGCAGCAATACAGCCATCTCGAGGTCAAGTGAGTAGCCGTCCTCCACCACACCATCTGTTGTTGCTTTTCCAAGTACAGTCGTACCTTGGATCCCAAATGCCCTGGAACTCGGACGTTTTGGGCTCCCAAACACAGCAAACCCAGAAGTGATTGCTCCGGATTGTGAATGTTCTTTGGGAACCTGAACATCCGACAGGGCTTCCGTGGCTTCTGATTGGCTGCAGGAGCTTCCTGCAGCCAATCAGAAGCCATGATTTGGTTTTCGAACATTTTGGAAGTCGAACAGACTTCCGGAATGGATTCCGTTTGACTTCCAAAGTACGACTGTATTCCTGGCACTAGGGCACATAGTTGATGAAAACTGATCATATTTCTTTAAATGTAATGTTTTCTAGAGCTGAGCTGAGCTACTTAAAGTAGCAGAACATCATGCTAATACAAATTAATAGCATACAGTGCAGACTAAAGTTTTGACTGTTCTTTTTTCCCTCCCCCTTTCAGTCAAGCAGACTGGGAATACTTACTGAACAACTGCAGTGCATTTATCTTCTCTGGACTGGCAAGATTTCTCTTATATACATTACTTGAAAGATTAGTTGCTATGAATATCCCAGGTGATTTTATGAAGCTGAAAAAGGCTGTTTGCTTTCCTTGCAGATCATAACAAAATTCTATTTACTCAGATTGAAATATGTGGTTTTATTGTTACAAGTGTTAGATCAGCTTTCTGCAAAAGTTGTCATTCAAAGGTGATTTAATTTGTGGTCCCTGTGCAAATCACATTATTAACACAAAAGCTGCTGTAAGCATGGTTTCTTCTTACATAGCATAGGTAAAATCAGAAGCTTAGGCACCCAAATTGGACCTCATCCCCTTGTCAGCTTTTGTTTTTCTGGAATTGGGAGTACCACTGATGTAGGGAAGAAGGAGGCACAGCATTGGCCTCTCTCATGTGGCCTAGGAATTTTAAGGTGTCAGAAAGTAGCCATTAGCTGCTCCCACAGCATGAGATTTACATCAGATGGGGTACTTACAACCCTGTATTGAGGGGGGGTCATCCCTTGAGGCACACTTTCTGAATAATGGAGCAAATTTCTGTTCCATGGAGTGGTCTTGGGATGATGTGCCTTAACAACTGACTGTTCAACACTGCACAGTTTTATTATATATTGATGGCAGTACTAGCAAGGCAAACAGTGAATGGCTGAGACCTGAAACAAAATGTGGCCCTTTGCAGTGCTCCCATTCACTGTTCCAATGCATCAGCCATGCTTCTTCAACATTCTATATTTTGTTCCACAGCCACTGCACCAGGCTTTCTGTTACCTACCCCTGGTTGGTCAGCATTCCACAACCACTGAGCATGCTCAGTCCTTATTGACTGTTAGGGAGTTGTTCCCTTAAGGTCTTTTATCAAGGTTTTATCCAATACTTCTTGAAACCTTGGGGTTCCCAATGTCCATCACTGCCTCCCCTGATTTCTGCCTAAATTCCACTGCCCCCATGTCACACACCATACCATTTTGGATAATTTCACAGGGGTCTGCAGTGAGGAATGTGGAATATTAAAGCCTTGTTAGACAAGCAATTTTCTGCTCATGTATCTTTGGATTGAAAATGCTACTTTTGTGCTGTAGTTTTGTACTGTTTTATTGTTGTTAGCTGCCCTGAGCCCGGCTTCGGCTGGGGAGGGCGGGATATAAATAAAATTATTATTATTATTATTATTATTATTATTATTATTATTATTAAAGTATAATATTCATATTATTGCTTCCCTTCCCACAGAGTGTCAGTTGGTGATACTTTCAGACCTCGTGCATTCAAAACCAAGTACTGCACGAGTGATAAACCTTGATGGGTTTAAAAGGTAAGAATGGCATAAGTTTTAAAGTCATTCTGTCCAAGGCAGTCCTCTACTCCAAAGTAAGTACCACTGAGTTCAATGGAACTTACTCCCAGGAAAGAGTGCATAGGATTGGAACCTAAATTCCTCATTCTTTGCTGTCAAAAATGGCTGCTCACCCAGTCCCAGGGTGGGCGATGATTACAGCCCATCATGGCAGACTCTGGGCCCCAGAAAGCTATGCTAGGCAGGCAGCCCCCCGGAGTGATGAGTCTTTGCCGCCACACAGTTCAAACCGGCTAGTCCAGGTGGGTGTGGTAAGGGAGCAGACCAGAGTGGAGCAGGCTTTGCTTCTGTCCGCCCCCTAAAGGCCAGCTAAACCTGATCTCAGGACCACAGTCCCTATATGTTTTATGCCCTGTTTCTCTCCACCTGGCTTGGGGCGGGGCCTGACAGGCTCCATAAAGAGTGCTGCTGCTGCTGCTGCTGGGCAGAGAGGGCTCCGTTTTTGTTTTGTTTTTTAAATTGCTTTTATTTTTTATCTGCATCATTTTAAATTGTGATATTAATGCTGTCTTCTTAGTTTTAGATTTTATGATTTATGTGGAAATTGTTTTCCATTTGGTTGTGTACCTTTTGATGTGGTTTTATTTATTGTTTATGACTTTTGTTATGTTGGTAATTATGCAATTCTTGTCATGTTGTAAGCCGCCTTGAGCATTGTTTTAACTATGGAAAGGCGGCATACAAATAAAATGATGATGGTGATGGTGATGATGATTTTGTATTTAAATTGTTTTTAAACTTATTTCTTCTAAGACGCAAAGAGAACTCTATAAAGATACTGTAGAAAATAAATAAAATATTTAATGCCAGACATGCTGGTGAGAAAAAGATAAGAAAAAATGCAGTTTACTTTCTATTCTTGTGAACTGATAAAATTTGAATGAACGGGTTTTGTCTCTTTTGTTCAGGTCATTTAAGAATGTCTGTACCTGTAATTTTCATTCATTGCATTTCTTTTTTCTTTTCTTTTTTTAGCTCTGTACGCCTCTCTCTGGAAAAGCCAACAGAGACAACAATCTTTCTGAGCCTTGCTGGAGTGCGTTCTGTCATAGCTAACCAATGGTATACGACGCTGGAAGAGAATGCGACAAAAATGGAAAGCTTATGTGAAAGTGTGTAATAGCAAACTTCATAAAACAGCTGAGCCTAATGCCTTTCTTGTCAATGGTGACGTTAGTGTTCATGCTTAGATGTGAACAAATGAAGCTTCTATACTCCGATGAAAATAGGGATGTCCTATTCCATCATCATCATTTTATGCCCATCTTACTGGGTTACCCCAGCCACTCTAGGCAGCTTCCAACATATATAAAAACATAATAAAACATTTAAAAGCTTCCCTATACAGGGCTGCCTTCAGATGTCTACTATAGGTTGTACTTATCTCCTTAGGTCACATAACTCCATACTCTCTGACGACAATAGGGATATCCTACCATGCCCTCCAACATTTCTCCAATGAAAAGAGGGACTTCCTAAGGAAAAGTGGGACATTCTGGGATTGGATCAGAAACCATGACTTCTGCTTCTGTAAATCCTGGACTGTCCCTGGAAAATAGGGGCATTTGGGGGTCTGTACTTATGAAAGGCCTAGAGCAGTGGGAACATGTTCCCAATCCAAATTTGTGCCTTGGGCTGGTTTCCTATCAAAACTCCCCCAGCTTCTATTTGTCCCAAATAGTACTTACGTTTTGCAGCAAATAGCAGCTGGGGAACAACTTTTTGCAAGAAGGCAGGACCTTGATGTGATAAGGAACACATTCTAATTGGGGCTTCAGTATTGCTTTTTATTGAAAACAAATGTGACCAATTTAACCTCAGTTCTTAAATGTGTGCATATTCTGAAGTATAGCTTGGTCCACAGGATTTCAAAAGGCCATTGATTTCAGTGGGCTTACATACACATAACTCTGGTTAAGACTGAGCTGTCATTTGCAAATGTAGAAGAAAACTGCAGGTTCCGCTTCCGTGTTTTGTTTTGAGTGTGTTCAGTTATAAAACTACTATGTTTCTTTGCAGATTTTATCAAAGTAGGCAAAACAACTGGACAGGCTGTTCGTTTTATTCAAAGGAGTAAGAGTGCTGTGGATGAACCTCCTAAAAGTAAGATTTAAAAGTTTTTAAAATAAAGTACACAGACTGAAGTGTGACAGATCAAAATCTTCCACCATTTTCTTCTCACCATTTTCTTATTTGATTAAAATGCCATTATATTGTATATTACAAGCACCGGAACTGCTGAGCTTGCTGGTAGAAATGGTATCACTCTCATCTAAGCAATTTGCTAACCTCATATTGAAGACACCAAGCGGGGTTTTAAAAAACACATACTGAAAGATGCATATATTTAAAAGAGTGTGTGTGAAAAAGAGAGAATGAAATGTCTCCCATAAGGAAGGTATTGTTTTTCCCCAAAGGAGCATATCTGTACATAGCTCCAGTGCTAAGAACAGTTGCTCCTCTGAATACTGGGTTTGTGCTGAGCCATCAAAATAACTGAATTATATTTCTATACACAGCTGTAATGCCAACGTTTTTCCTATTTACTTACTACAAAAAAGGACTCAAAGGTCCAAGCTAAATGTGACACAGGAGATCCAGAATTAGATTCTCTCACAGTTGAAAAGAAATTAATGGCAGACATAGGGGTCCCAAAGCAGTCCTTGACTGTGGCAGCAGAGAAGGGAGATTAACGCCATCCCTGCTCTCTGTTTTCCTAATTAAAATTGACTCCCCAAACCTGTTATTTGCTGCACTGGGGGAAATGACTAGAGATACTTGTAACAGGAATGTTTACTTGTCACCAGTGACCAGAGGTTTCTGTAAGTTCAAGATGGGAAAGCCTTTTGCTGTCAAAGGTTGTTGGAAGCACATTTCCCCCCTCAGAGAATTCTGAGCACTGTAGTTAGTTAAGAGTTGACTATAACTGTTTCTCTATAAGGGGTAAACTACAGTGCCTTTAAAGTTATAGTATGTATGTAGCCAGTAACAGTTTCTCTCTGTTATGGTTTCCCCACAGTTAACATTAGGATTAGCTACCCTTTGATAGTATCTAGCTTTATGGCATTTAATTCAGACAGTTCTTTAATGTTTAGCAAAGTTTCTGGTCACTAGGTTATTTTATGTGCTAATTTTAGATCTGATTACATGCAGTTCTTGGGGATTTCAGTGCTTTCTGAACACTGGTACTGTATATGAAAAATGAATATATGGATAGGCAAGTGTATATCCATATATGGTAATGTATATATAGGTAAAGGTACCCCTGACTGTTAAGTCCAGTTGTGGACGACTCAGAGGTTGCGCGCTCATCTCGCTCTATATAGTCAGGACTAAAACTATGTTAAGAGTTGTCCTTCTCTACTATATGTAGCACCTGAACAGGCCTAAAGAGACAGGTATTTAAGCAAGTAGACATTAAAACTCTGGGCACCATTCAGCCAGTGTTAAGCCGCTTTAAATCCATTTGATGTCAATAGGAAAGTTGGGTTCATGTTTAAATCTCTTCCATTAGAAGCATTCGCTTAAAACTGCTTAACTTGAATAGGATCGTGCTCTCGGTTTCTTTAAAATATCTCTATAGCTAAAAGAAAATGTTAATTATTTGTTCTGAACTGTGTTTCTAGCGGAGCTTGATGCCCCTGAGGACAAGAAAGAAGACCAGAGAGAAAGTCCCGGTGGGCTAATGCATCCTGCCCCACACCCATCAGCTCTTAATACCGTTTTATATGGGCTGCCCAACATGATGTTTGTGTGATTCACAACCAATTTCTTTATGAAATATGGAAAGTATGGAAATATGGAGATCTAAATATGGTTAGATTGTGAAGTAAAACTATTTTTGCTGTAGTTTGATAAAAAATAAGAGTTTATAAAAGTTTGAGCTGTGCTTAGTGGCTCTTTTGAATTTAAATATGCATTAAATGTTTTTTTGCTATTGAATGTTTCCGATTTGCTCAGGGCTTTTCACTGCAGATTTTGAGGCCTGTTTTCCCCCTTATGTGTACTCACAAGCTAAATTGCATGTGTGACACTACTACATGCCGCCATAGTACTATTAGCTGTACAAATAGCACTATACTGACACCTAGTGATCACAACAGTGCATTTCAAATCAAGTTTAGTATGCTAACCTAGGAGGGAAAGTACCTGTTTGTTCCAGTTTTGTATGCTTCAGTAACCATTCGTACAACCATCTATATTGACAGTAGCAGACCAACTGTGTAAATATAATGTATGTGAGGTTACAAATAAAGTGTGCTTGTTGGGTTTAGACATGTGTGTGGTGGGTCATTTATCTGAGCAATCACTGCACTCAATTTTAAGGCTTTGTTTCTCAACCAAAAAGAAATATAACACAAGGCCAGTTCTGGGGGAAATGTAGTGTGTCAGTCATTGTACTTTCAAAGATATGTCACTGTTGGAAGCATTGCTTTGCATAGATGGATTCATATACGTTTTCAGAAATGATGTATACTTTATAACTTACAAATAACATACAGTCGATAAGCAGTAGCATTGCTCTGCTGTATTACTTGGGTGCTTCTGCAGTTCAGTGAAAAAATGCATGTTTGGATGTACAAATAGCCTCAGATTTGAAGCTGAGCATCTGCAGTTAGAGGATCTCAGGTTGCAGGACTGTGAAAGACCTGGCTCAGAATCTAAAGTGTTTGGTCCAAGTTCTGCTGCCACTCAGGATGTGAACTAATCAATGGCGTTTCCATCACAGTCAAGGTCTTAAAGATATTGGTGAGATCTAGAAAGCCACTGGTATAAGTGCAAGGCACTTTTGCTTACTCAAGAAGGGGGTGCTGAATTTCCACTGATTCTCCCCTGAAACTGCAGCACTCTCGCAATGCATCAAGCACCATTCTGAAGGGTCCCTGGCTACCAGGTAAGGATGGATGAATCTGCCAGTTTCACTTTCTCATTATTTCAGTCTTAAATTTTGTTCTCCATATTCCCCCATCACTCTGAAATTTTGTTAATGTTTGTATGAAATTTTACCTTTTTTTTTTTTGCACAGCAGTTCCCCCTAATATAACGCATTTCAAGTGTTATTTTCTTGAACATATGCATTTTAATTCACCCTTTACCCTAGTGTGTGCATTTTTGTACACATTACATGGCCAGAGCGCAGCATTACAAAATGTGGAGAATTGTGGGTTTTGAAGGATGGCTTGTATTTTGGTTCATGCGTTATATATGAAAGTGTGAATTGGTTAGGTTCTCCTTTAAATTTGAACTGCATCTGATTTCTCCCCCATCTCTACTGTCAGGAATAGCTGCAGCAAAAAGGTAGACAAACCCTGTTGTATGACTGGAACTCCTCTCGGCCTTCTCTGGATCCAAGCCAATGTGCTGTTTTACTGGCAATCTTGTTCGTTATTTTTCTTGAAACGTTTTAAGAATATAAAACCACGTGTTGCGAACTGCAGTGATATCAGCCAAAGTTTTGAAATTAACTTTAAATCAGCCTATATCTTAGAGACATTCTCCTATGGAAATTCTGCATTTTCTTTACTCTTCTGTTTCCTGGGGTTTAATAGGAAAAACATAACATCAAGAGAAATTGCAAAAATCCATTTACCACTTAATCTCCCAAAAGTTCTGAATATTTCTTTCTTAGCAATCCAGGCATGCCTGTTCCCTACGATAAATTATTTGTGTTCATTTTAAAGGCATTAACATGTCACCAGAAAATAGTATTCTTGGCTCTCCTGCTATGCTAAAGTTAATTAGAAACTGATAAGGATTTGTGGCATAGTATTACAAAATCATGACATCTGTAGCATTACTTTTTAAAAGTTCATCCATGGATATAAATAAGTGCACTTTCACTTTTCCACAGACCACCCCCCCCCACAAGCCAGCTTATCAGAAAAGGGAAGTCCAATGAACTTCCACTATAAAATAATGTAGCTTGGAAGCATGCATGCTTTTGCTCATCACTACGTTATCATTTCATTTTGATATTTTCCCTTGTTTCTATTTTCAAGTTAAATGGTTTTTTTTTTATTTTTTTTTGCAATGTAATGTTTTGGAAATAGCTTCAATCATTTGTAAAGGAACATTGTGGCTATCATCTGAAAAGGAAGAAGCCATGTTTCCTGGCAATGTTTCCTGTTCAAAATCTGCCCCCAAAATAAAAACCTGGAAAGGACCATAATTTAGAGGTACAGCTTATGGTTTGCATTCAGAAGGTCCCATAGTGAGTCACCAGCATCTCCAGGAATGCCTGGAAAATACTGCTATCTAAAACCCTGGAGAGTTGGTGCCACTCAGTGTAGACCATGGGTAGGCAAACCAGATCCGGCCCAATCGCCTTCTAAATCCGGCCTGTGGACGACCCAGGAATCAGTGTGTTTTTACATGAGTAGAATGTGTCCTTTTATTTATTCATTTGTGGGGCCTGCCTTGTGTTTTTACATGAGTAGAATGTGTGCTTTTATTTAAAGTGCATCTCTGGGGTATTTGTGGGGCATAGGAATTCATTCATATTTTTTTTCAAAATATAGTCTGGCCCCCCACAAGGTCTGAGAGACAGTGAACCAGCCCCCTGCTGAAAAAGTTTGGTGGCGCCTGGTGTAGACAATACTAACCTAGAGGGTCCATAGCAGCTCCTTGTGTTCCTATGAAGCCAGGTGTTACTTCTTCATGCACAGAGAGACAATAGCAACTTCCAGAACTCTGAGCAATACACTTCCTTGAAAATGTAGGTGAGCCCAATAAAAATGTTCATGCTGCCAAGCAACATCACAGAATGAGAAGGTGCAAAAGAATATAAGTTTTTAGCAACAGGTTACAGACAGTACTCATCATCTGAGAGGTTTGTGTCTTGGCTGTTTATAGTGGTTTTTGTATTTATTTTTTAAAAGGAAGAAATAAATGCTACAGCGATGAAGAAAACAGGCACCAGGCAAGCAAAGATTAAGGATGATTGTCCGTCTGCCTAACATCAAGGTATAATGAGCTAATTTGAAAGGTTGCAAATGTTCGTTTTCTTTATGCAGCTGGTGCAAAATATTTAATCTTCGAAAGTGTTTCCCCCCAAAATGTTCCCATGTATAATAGATGCTTTGGCCTTGGCAACTACGTCAGCATCCTCTGTCAAAAAGATGGATGAGTAAGTCCAAAAATTTCTTCATGGCCTGACAGCCCTACTTTATCATAAAGCACTGATAAAGAGTAATGTCCAGATCCAGGAAACTACAGACTGAGAATCTTGACTTCTTAAGCACAAGATACTGGAAATGTTTGTCAGTAATACAATAGGGGAACACGCAGAAATGCCTGGAATTTATATTTGGTGAAGGTAGTGTAGAAAGTACACGTAGTATCAAACAATCTAGAAAACCTTGAATAGATAAAAAGGCCAGCTAAAAGGTACCCCACCAGTGCAACATCCAAGAGCCAAATTTGTAATGTCTAGAAATGCACATTTGAGGATTTTTTAAAAAAAATATGAATATGAATAATACTTCACTATGCGTCCTGTTGTGACATAATTTTTGATGTAGTTACCAAATCCATAGAAAGCACACACCCTCCTTTGCCTTGAGATGGGGCCAAAAGATCAATTTTGGGATCCCATCCTAGAAGGACTGGCACATCCATAATTGAGAAAGTTGCAGGTAGTAATGTCCAGGGTGGCAATGGGGCCAAGAAGTACTGCCGCCATTGCAAGAAAAAAAAGGTTGTGTAACACTTACACATTTTTAGCTCTCTGTATTACTTATTATTAGTTATCTGGCAGCAGTCTTGTGACTACCTGGGGATGAGCCTATGGAGAAATTCTGCCCGTCAATGATATATCCACTAGCCTTTTTATGGCTTCTCAGTAAGTACTTACCCTACACAGATGCTTACATTGATTGTGTCTTAGCCCAAAATGACAGAATTGTAGAGTTGGGGGAGACCCCAAGGGTTATCTAGTTCAACCTCCTGCAATGCATGAATCTCCCCTAAAAGCATCCATAAGAACATAAGAATCATGCTGAATCAGGACAAAGGTTCATCTGTTCCAGCATCCTGTTCTCATGATGGTCCACCAGATGCCTATGGGAAGCCTGCAGGCTGGACCTGAGTGCAATAGCAGTCTTTCCACTTCTGATACCCAGCAACTGGAATTCAAAGGCATGCTGCCTCTGACAGTGGAGGTAGGAGATTGTCATCATAGCTAGTAGCCTTGGTCTCATCTTCCATGAATCTCTTTTAAAGCCGTCCAAGCTGGTGGCCATCACTATGGAACCTTCTCTGCTAAAGTTCAAGTCTTCAGTGAAGTCTCTGTCAAAGGAGCACTCAAGTGATGCTCCACCAGGGTGGGTGATGTTGGGTTTTCAACATTGCGGTGTATCGCCAGCCAAAATCGTGGTTTGGCGATAAACTTCAGTGTTGAAAAAAGCTGCATTGGCCCCAGCTGGCGAGGTGCCGGGGAAAACTGCTGCAGCTCTCATCATGGGAGCTGAGGCGCTTTCACCCCAGTGCCTCGCAGGCTGAAGCCAATACATCTTGCCCCAGCCTGCTGCTCACCTGGTGGTGGAAAGGCTCCTGCCCCCAGCTGAGTGAGCCCCGAGTCCCCTGCCACTCGTGCACGACCAGCAGGGGACTCGGGGCTCCTTGGCCAGGCTCCACTGGGGGCGGGAGAGCGATGAGAGGGGGTGCGGTGGCAGTTTCACCAGCGGTATATTGCTGCTGATACCATCACCGCTTGAGTTCCTCTGCCTCCAGCTCCCAGTTAGTTTGTCCCTCATTGCTCTGGGCGATGAAGGCGGAGGGACTCAAGAGCCGTGATGGTTTCACCAGCGATATACCGTTGCATGAAGCTGTCATCACGGTCCTCCCCCCCCCCATACCGGTCCTGGGCGATATCTTAATATATCGCCCAGGCCTATGCTCAACATAGGAATGCTCAACATTCCTTTTGATTAGTCCACTAACATAAATAGACCTGACACTATGTCTATTGACTTGCAGTAAATGCACATGAAATCACTCGAATCATAACTCTGTAAAGATGCAGTTCTATAACTACTTATCTGGGTGAAAGTAAGCCCAATTGAATTATGTCTAGACTTACTTCTGAATAGACAAGTAAAGGATTGAGCTGTAAATGTTTTCAAAATCATAGCCACTACATAACGTGTGATTTTATTGTATTTTTGGTTTTTATGGAAGCCGCCCAGAGTGGCTGGGGAGGCCCAGCCAGATGGGCGGGGTATAAATAATAAATTATTATTATTATTATTATTATTACATAAGGCTTTCCGAAATAA